ATGTGCCTCCTAAGTTGTACCATTTTAACCAGATAGCTTAGCAAATGTACCACCGTTGGTAATATGCACGCCCTTACACGAGTTAATCAGCGTGGACATTTCAGATATATCATTGTTTACAGTAGTGAATTAGTCAACAATTATAAAACGCGAGACTATATCAGGGGCGGGTCCAGGTGAGGGCGTAATGGGCGTACGCCCCCACCCCCCTTTTCAAAAAAAATAAAGTTTTTTTTTTTAACGTAATCTGCTAATATTGTATTGAATATGGCAATTTATCATATTCATTAATTAAAGACATACTCTGATAAAAAAAAATGTCAAACCATGACACTTCAACTATAAAATATACATGCTCCAAGTCAATTATTTTATGTTTTTTAGCAAAAAAAGGTCCAAAACTTTTTTCGCATCGCTCTGCTCGGCAACAGATTTTATTCTACATCCCCTCTTTCAAATATCCTAGAAACGCCCCTGTATATAGCTAGTAGCCTTGGATGTTGCACTGATTTGAACTTACCGTTTGTTTAGCAACTTAGTGATGCCATGAGTAACTCATTAATTAAACAACAACGATGTTATGGTGTTATTTGTTCTTTTGTACGACAAACGTACAATGCGGGCGGGACGCCAAATAAGGTAATAATGAACAAGCCCCCTGTGGATTCATACATTTGTCATCACCAGGTTGCCCCTATAATAATAACATCTGACTTCTAAAACACGCTGTTGATAGAGAATTTGAAACGAAACTTTAATTTTCTTTCCAGTACACAAAAAAAGTCTTGGGCCATACTTAAAATATGTTTTTTACTTCTTGTTAATTAAACATAAAAACAATCCTCAGAACACGGGAAATCACTTCTGAGACGTTCTAGAAAACACATTTTTTGGGGGGGGAGATCCCCCAAACCCCCCTTACGGGGAGGGGCTCTGTATCCTCCCCCTCCTCGTGCTACGCGCTCGGGCTGCTGCCTTTCGCAGCACACCGTTGACTATTGAGAAACAATTCTCGGCCCCCCCCCTTTTAGGAAATCCTGGATCCGCCCCTGNACGAAACTTTAATTTTCTTTCCAGTACACAAAAAAAGTCTTGGGCCATACTTAAAATATGTTTTTTACTTCTTGTTAATTAAACATAAAAACAATCCTCAGAACACGGGAAATCACTTCTGAGACGTTCTAGAAAACACATTTTTTGGGGGGGGAGATCCCCCAAACCCCCCTTACGGGGAGGGGCTCTGTATCCTCCCCCTCCTCGTGCTACGCGCTCGGGCTGCTGCCTTTCGCAGCACACCGTTGACTATTGAGAAACAATTCTCGGCCCCCCCCCTTTTAGGAAATCCTGGATCCGCCCCTGTAGTGTACACTGATAGAATTCGTCATCCACCCATCTACTGTATATACTGTACACTGATAGAATTCGTCATCCACCCGCCTATATAGTGTACACTGTATTGATGTAGCCATGTCGTATTACTTACAGAAACGCCTGTACATAGACCCATACATCAACCCACTGGACCCAGTCGAGTGTGACCTTGTCTTCCATCAGCTCATAGAGGACATGTTTGAACACAGGCTTCCGTTATCCTCTATAGACGCTGTAAGTACATGACTACTCCCCTCTTTGGATGTTGAAAATACTTGTATAGCTGTAGCTGGTTTTCCCATTTATCAAAATATCATGCCAAGTTAAGGGAAACTTACCAGTTCCTCATTTTGTTGAGTCATTCTATATAAAAAGGAAAGTACAAAAAGTATAGAAAAACAACACCTGGTACCTACAAAACTGTGTTACTTTTGAGATTGTCAGAAGCAAGTTTGATGGACATTTCATAGGAGGTGATGTTAGTATACCAGATCTGATAGTGGTTTCATCGGAAGTATAATTACAGTGTATCAGGAAAATGTTTCTAAATGATCCAATTTCCAAAACTTTTTTCCTAAAGAATTACATCCCCTTTCTGATCACATATTTACATGTCTGTTTGCAATGTAGTTAAATCAACATGTGTCTCAAATTATTTCAGGTCCAGTTATGTGCCTTGAAAATTCAGTCAGAAATGGATGACATGAAGTGCGCTGAAATTGACTACAGGTATACATAAGCATATATGACTAGGTTATCACCATATATAGCATGACTGTATAATGTTCTGTATTTAACCTCACACAAGTTACTGAAATCACTTTTGCCAAGTACCTCCTCTTAGTCTTCATTGTTATTGTACAGAAAAGCTCCAGTGATTCTGTTTGGAAAATTACTGTATAATTATGTAGGGAAATGAAAAAAATCACTTTACCCAAATGCTTTAGGAATATTTTGATGTGAACCGTTTACGTCACAACTTTGGTAGAAATCAAAGAAAGGCAAAACATTTTTAAAAAAATAAACTTCATTCATATAATGTGTTCAGGATAAAATCTTGTTCCTGATTAAGTTTTGCTGAAAAAAAGCTTTGATGCTACTGAACTTGCACAATTATCACACCTCAATTTTACTGAATTATGTATTGTCCAGTGAATTGCTTTGTGTAGGAAAAACTAAAAATATTTATCTGTCATATAGTCATGCCATGTAATGTTGTACCGTTAACCATCAGTTCGGTGATCCGTATCCTGCCGCGAGACATGCGTACCGAGGTGAAGGTCGAGGACATCGCAGTGGCACACAAGGCAGTGATGAACATGACACCAGGCCAAGCTATGCTCGCTTTTATTGAACTACTCAAGTCCTGGCCACTGTTTGGAGCCACCATCTTCCAAGTATTTGTAAGTATCAGACGAGGATACCATCAGGAACCTTTTCATCAAAACAGACAGAACAGTTCTCAATAAATATCAGGGACAGACCTATTAGTTTGATACATTTTAGTGGAGAGCTTTGGTGACAGCTCTACAGGCCTGTATTAATGTTCAGAGGACTGGTACTTAAATATTGTATTGACTGGTGAGACTGAAAATTATTGTAAAACAAGTAAATTTAGAGAGTAACAAAAAATTGATGATGGCTGGAGTTCTGAAGCTACCTAGTACATGTATATTGAGCAAGTGTCTAAAATACAGCAGTAATTGATTTGATGATGCTGATTGCAGGATAAATATTTGTTTAAAATAAGATTTAACCTTATCTGCTGCTTTGAAACAGTAAATACATAAAAACCTGTGTGGTTTCACTCAGTAGGATAGGACATATAAAAAAGGCACTGTAGTATAATACACTTAGGTTTACTTGTTTCTGTAGTTTATTTTATAATGCATCGTATTTCAACATAGAAATGTAACATTTTGTAGGCTAGAGTACATTGTACATTTAAAAGTGGTGAAAGGTCACATTTACACAACAGTTACTCATTATTTATTTGGTGTAATATTCTCTTGATTCAGCAAAATTACACCTCCTCCTTGCCAAAGAACATGCTGCTGGCTGTCCATCAACAGGGGATCCATATATTGGAGATCATCAGTTTTGTAAGTTGTTCATTCCACATTCTCAACGTTATAAGTTAAACATCTACCTACTACAGATCATAAATTAGGGCTATTCCACTTGTCCTAGTATTGTACATGTGATGGCATGTGTTGGTTCTGGCCACACTTGTATCCCAAAGTTGAGGGGAATCCTAAACAATGTTAAGTCAATGGTAATCTCAATTAGAAATTTTTGAAGTTGAGGAAAATTACAAGACTTGAGATTTTTGATAACAAATGTGGGGCCAGACTAGCTTCTTCAAATGTGTTTGATTTGTAAATAAACCTGTTTAATTCTATGTTGACTCTACCATTGATGATATTAAATTCTTCAAGATAGACTTTCTTACATTTGATTGTTATTGTGCTATTTCAAGTGTTGAAAGTCACAACAGGCATCGGTGATATTTGAACACCTACTTTCACTGAAAAAACAGATTGTCAGAAATATTTGTTTGGTTTACAGAAACTGATTGCATCGTACGAGTTCTCAGAAGTAGTCCATTCTAGTCCTGCAATGAAGAGTATCATGATCATTGTCGGCCACGTTGCCAAGGGCAACAAATATATGTTTAGTACCAATCAGGTAAGCCTACTGTAACGTCTTGAGAGGTGATATCAGACTTTAGATTTATTTATGTAGCTAGTATGTTATTTAAACTACACCTTTATTGCCACATTTTAACAACAAATTAATGTTTAGTACCAATCAGGTAAGCCTACTGTAACATCTTGAGAGGTGATATCAGACTTTAGATTTATTTATGTAGCTAGTATGTTATTTAAACTACACCTTTATTGCCACATTTTAACATTTGAAATGTTTTATTTTGTGACAAATACACTGGTCTTTCAATTATAGTGAAATTTCCACTCATTATTATTACTTCATTAAATGTCTAATGAAAACATCATGCAAGTCGTATGAAGATGGCAAATATTTAACTACTTCAAATTTTTTTTTGCAGGCATTTGAAATTGCACATCTTATTAAGGATTATATTGAGGAGCTACAGGCAAGATTCCTTATTTTACCTCGCCAACCAGAGAACCCATTACACGACATGAATAGGATGTCAGCCGTCTTCTTTGATGACTCACCTACACAGATCATACAAACTCTTGTATGATAGGAGCTTTTACATGGATCATACAAACATTTGTATGATACAATCTTTTACAAAGATCAAACTGACACTTGTATGATGGGATCTTTTGCACTGGACTTAAAAATTGTGTATGAAAGGACTTCCAATGTAGATCTAGCAGATACGTGTATGTCTTGGGATCGTGTGCAGGGCTCATAAAAAAATCTGTTATTTCTAAGGATCAATCTCTTTTATGATAGAAAGGGACCTGATACTACATTACAGAGATTGCTGGGTAGAATCACATGGACATGGGATCTAGCAGGAAGATGTTGACCTTGTACCGACTGTTAGGTATAGAAACAAGGTCATCAAATTCTTGTGTGCAATACAAAATGGATTTCAGATATAGTGTAATTTGTAAGATGTTGTATGACAAAAAAGAAGATGGCATAGTCTTGTATGAAAGGAAAGGAATCTTAGATCTGTGTATGACAAGATGACGAGAGTACAATCTCTGTTTCCTGTTCAGAAGGATTGTGGGTGATAAATTGTGCAATAGTTTGATCAAATGGCAGAATCTCTGTTTGTGATAGGATGACGTGATCTGGGACCAAAGGGAGACAACCATCTGCTGTTTACCCAGATTTGTGTGATAAATCAAAGACAGTATGAGGATTAAATGAGAAATATGCTGAAAGCTTCTCAAGTAAAAAGTGTGATACATGTATGTTCTGTGTATGTATCTGTAGGACACCCAGAGCTGGGCCTGTGGATGTATCTGTAGGACGCCCAGAGCTGGGCCTGTGGATGTATCTGTAGGACACCCAGAGCTGGGCCTGTGGATGTATCTGTAGGACGCCCAGAGCTGGGCCTGTGTATGTGTAATTTGTGATATATGACATACAAAGTGTCTGTGGAGCAGGGAACAACGGATATGCAATGACATTAAGTAACTCCACCCTTATGCAATATGTAAAGACACTCCCACCTAAGATAGTACTGTTTGCTTCCATATAGTGGTTGTAGTGTCTAATACTTAGCCATGGGATCGTGTAAACTATTTGTCTGATGGATTGAGCTTCTGGTTAGGTATTGTAGTGTAACAGAATAACTATCGTCGTACTAGTATCAAAATATTCAGTGTTGCCAAATTAATCTCAATTAGTGCAATCATATTTTAGATCATGTATCACTGTAATCTTAAGGCGTAATATCAAAGTGTCAATTAAATCTTACCATGTTATTCTTCCATTCAATGCTCAATTTGAATTTGCCAATATACAACCACAATCAAATTACAAATGTATTCATGTAATAAGATATTCTTAATTTCATTTACAAATTATTTAAACTCTAAGATAAAAAGAAAATCAATTGTATCATGTATTTGATCTATTTTGTGACTAGCTGTATCTATTTTTAGACTTAAACTACATTGTATATGGGAAAAAATGGCAAAATGAAAATTTAAATCAGTGAAACATCAATATGGCGACATTTACAATCAAAATTTGGCACAACTTTGTATATTTTTTATGTTAATTATGGAATTGTTCATCCCCAAAAACAATGTGATCAATTGAAGAGTAAAAATTGAAACATGTTAACCAGTATCCTTACTGTGCTAGAAATGTGTCTCAAATGTGTCTCAAGTTTCAAAATCTGTATGGACATAGCGTTCTTTTTAGCATGAACCCAAGGAATACACTGTTTTATTGGTGCCACATGGTTCTCTTGAACTACAGCGCTCAGTTTGATTTTGATAATGTTGCTGTAGGCAACAGCCATCCAAGTTTGTTGATTTCCTATGATACTTTGTGAACCAGAAAGCTGGATTTATAGGCCTCAGCAGGACTGACTGAGACAGGGTATTGCGCCAGACCATTTGTTGCATACTCACCTAGTCATTGACAGTTTGTTTTAATAACCGTATTTATTTGGTTAACAAATAAACCAGCAATATAATGTGTATTTTAGATGAGTAACTTTTCAGGCAGACCTTATTTTTCAAAGTGACCCTTTTTTCTGTACTTGAATTTGTCAAAATCAATATTGTGTGAAAGATCATTTATCTACATTATCCAAATTATGGTTCAGTTTAGAGGGGTTCATTCACTAGTCAACAGTTACTCAAGATCAAAAACATTCAATGAGCAGTTTATTTTATCATTTTGTTAAGTAACCCAATTTTGTTCCCTTATGTACTGTATACCGGGAAATTTTCACCCACTCTCCTTCAGCCTGTAAAGTCCACTCTTCCTTAGCCTGTAAAGTCCACTCTCCCTTAGCCTTTAAAGTCCACTCTCCCTTAGTCGGTAAAGTCCACTCTCCCTTAGCCTGTAAAGTCCACTCTCCCTTAGCCTGTAAAGCCCACTCTACCTTAGCATGTAAAGTCCACTCTCCCTTAGCCTGTAAAGTCCACTCTCCCTTAGCCTGTAAAGTCCACTCTTCCTTAGCCTGTAAAGCCCACTCTCCCTTAGCCTGTTAAGCCCACTCTCCCTTAGCCTGTTAAGCCCACTCTCCTTTAGCCTGTAAAGTCCACCCTCCCATAGCCTGTAAAGTCCACTCTCCCTTAGCCTGTAAAGTCCACATTTGACCAATTTAACTTCACCCTTCACATTTGATTACTATTAACATAGTGTTGTTTTTGTCCTCAGTACACACGGGGGGAAGCGAAAGTTAAACAGCAGTGAACATTTCCCATTATATAGTATGTAGTCACAGTACATTTTGTAAGGTATCTGTCTCACTTATCCTTTTATGTTTTAAATTTTTATATTGACAAATATTTTACTTTGATAATTTCACTCAGTATTGTTGACACATTATCAATAGATTTATGCCCGTACAAATCTGTTCACATGGACTTCGTATATGGGTACATATTGGCTGTAATTCAATACCACAGTATGTTGGGTAAATCGTCTGTATTGGTGACTTTTCATCAGTGTTCCATCGCCCGAGTGACATTACACCCCAGTGTAACTGTAATGAACTCGGCACTGTCCTTAATTCTTGTCGCCCAGATCTGGTTATCTGGTTCTAATACTGTGAAGTTTGGTGTTAAGTGGGAGTATTTGTAGTATGTGAGTGGTTGAAAGGTGGACCTATATATATTATGTAGCTACTCTATTTGAAAGTTCCATTTTATGAGTGGCTTTAAAGAATCTCTCAGTGGATGGCTTTTAAAGATCTTATGTATTGGTAAGATGTTTCAAGAGTCATGAGTGACTGAAATACACTGGAGGTGTTGACTTGTGAATGAATACCATGAAAATATAGCTACAACACATTATGCATAATTTGAGACCAAAGCTGGCTTTTGTTCTTTCTTATTATGAAAAGTATTAATTTTAATATGCTGTAACAGAGATCAAAGGACATAATTATAAATACAATGTCACCAAGCGACATTTCCCTGAAATAAATTACATTTCTACATTTTCATTGAATTTATTTGTTCTTAGATATTGACTGATTGGTCAATTTTATGACAAGCAGATTTTTTTTAAGATGTTTACATATAAGTACCATTACGTTTTCTTTAAAAATGTGCAATAACATGACTCCTACTTTTCTGTAGTGTATGGTTACAAGGTGTAGATGTGATTGATGTCATAAGTATCACTCTTTATTGTACCTAATAATATATGCTACATTAGTTATGCTTATGATTTGTAGTGAGAGTTATCTCCCCTTACATTTACCAAGCATTATGTACATGTACAGTGTGATATTTCAGAATTTGTTACCAAACACGTATAATTGACCAATCTCAAATAATCATTCATGAAAGAGGTTTTTTTCTTTTTGACAGGAGATCTGATGTAGGAACAAATATCCTTAACTGAATGATTGAGTGCAACAGACTTTAGTTACAAGTTACTGAAGTAAGATAGTAAGGTTTTAAAAGAGAGATGTGTAGAATTCACTGGTGTTTAAAGAGAGGTGTGTTATTTGACCAAGGTGTGACCGAGGTGTCACACAAGCTGAGCTATATTTATATAACTGTTTTATATATATATATATCGTTTACATAACTTATGCATTTGATGAGAGGCGGATGTTGAGAGAATCTGTTTACATAACTTATGCATTAGGTGAGAGGCTGATATTGAATCTGTTTGCATAACTTGTAGTTGATGAGAGAGGGATGTTGAAACTGTTTTGTATAATAGAGGTAACCTCTGTAAATAAAGATCTATTATTATTACTATTTGTTGTAGTGCCAAATATCATGGAGAAAATGACATTCATTCACTAACCGTATAGTTGCCTTATTTAATGGATGTTTAGAAAGTGGACATTGCTTTGAGATATAAAATATATGTAACCAAATAATATCAGGTGTTCTGTTTCTTCCTTGCACACTTATTATTACATCGAGTAAACAGAGAGAGATTTGTTATGGACTTTATTAACAAAAATTATCATCTGATAAAAAAAATGTCAACAACCTAGCTTTATAACAAATAACTTGATTGTGTGTCTAACACCACTTGAACAATTATATAATATACAATCATTGTCATTGTACCATTTGATCATCCACATCCATCAGATTGACTGTGTCCAACACAAACTAATGGAGGTCCGTGTTTCCTTCCAATATCTTCTTGAATCTGTTCTGTCCAAGACGTTTGGCTAACCTGCAAATAGTTAACAAAGCAATGAAAAGGTATGTTTTTCACCATTATTTGATTTCTTAATCTCCTCAACATCAAAAAGTTTCATCTAAACATGATATTGATTTCATAATCTCCAAATCCATACCAGTGAAATATGCCAGGCAGATATTGGCTCATGTAAAGGAAAGATAACTCCGGGTTTGCTGTTAGCCACACTTCATCCATGTTGTTAGCCATGGCTACGGCCATAAGATGAGCACAGCGGGCTGCTGTCATCCTGTTCTCATCGGATTTCATTTCCAGACCTAATTTCTGAAATAAAGATAATAAAAAAACTGAAAATAACAAAGCAAACAAAAAATCAATATATCCCTTAAAATAAACACGACATTAGGAATGGAGGTAGACTACATCCTGTATCATCATCAAGTATTAATTGATCATGCTCAGTTTTTTATACAACCACTTTAGACCAAAAAACTGTCAAGATATTTACCATGTGATAGTTTGATGTTTCTTCCTAACTTGATACAAAGCTTTACTCGTTGCATGCATTTCAATTTTGCAAAGATTTGAAAAGGTTCCAGAAAAAATTAGTCACTGCAATGATGCTTCAGTATTTGAAAACAAGTTGAAATGCTTAATTCCATGACTATCACTGATTCGAAAAAATGTTCAAAAAATATTTGTGAATAAAAATTAGTAAATATGACCTGTCGGACAGGCTGTCTCCAGTGAAAATTATTACCTACAGCCTGTTAAAACATACTTTGTCGGGATCCTCAGTGAAGGCGTGCATCAGAGCTTCCGAGAACACTGGGCCAGGACAGACCATGGTTACTTGTATATTATACATAACGGACTCTACACGCAGACAGTCAAACCAACCCTGTCAAGGAAAGACAACAGATGAATGTTTTATTACTAGTTAGTTACTTGTAGTACAGCAAAGGAAAGACAGAATATGAATGTTGTATCACTTTCTATTACATGTTATATATTAATGTAAATATATATTATTTAGCAAGTGAATGGATTGATGTAGAACTTACATGTAGGGCGTGTTTACTGGCACAATACGAGCCGAGGCCTGGCGCACCTGACAAGTTAATAAAGTCATACAAGGCACAGATTAATCTCGGTAGAAATACTACAATCTGAAATAACAGTGTTTGATAATAACACAAAATTTATCATTCTGTTAACATTTTAGTAACATCACTTTCCATTAGAAACTTTTGTTTGAAAAAGAAAAGATTAGGAGTTTTATGCTGTATTTTGTAGGAAATTCTTTGTGTATTCACATTTAAAATCTCTTTGAGAATGCTATGGGATCAAAATGTTTCACATACTGCACATGTAACAATAATCTTCTGTCTCTAGATACTTACCAATTTTGCCTGCAAGACTGCTAGTGACCACCACCTGGCCAGAATTCTGTTGAATGAAAACAGGGAGGACAGCCTTGGTCAGTGATATTGGACCCAAGGTGTTTACTGCAAGCATCTGCTGGTCAACCTCAAAACTTGTTCTGCTGATCAAGGCCCTCTGTGACCGACCTGCATTGTTCACCAGACAGTCAATCTGTGTGGGCATAGACAGAGACCAAGTAATACATTAGTTCTACCTTTATAACACTGAAGCAAAAATATTACATACACATGTATGTGACTAGACTTGGGAGTCTTTGCAAGGTTTAATTTTGATATGTGGAACTGAATTTGAATTGCAACTGAAAAAACTTCATATTGAATGATACAAAGAAGTTCAGTCAATATAGACATCTTAATGTGACAAACAACATTTACAGGTACATGTATATAAAACTGTTAATGTACAGGTAAATGTTGACCTGTTTTATTTTACAGGTACCAGGTAAATATATCTGTTAATTTAGAGGTAAATATAAGCTTGTTCATAGCAAAGCGACATTTGGAAATCAAAACAGGGGAAGGAATTAAAACTGAACTTATTATGTGGTAGTATTTATGAAGTGTACCTTTTTGAAGTACTTGAGCACAGTTTCCACCAAACCTTTGTGTGAGTCATAGGCCAGTAAGTCCAGGGGAAGCACCAGGTAATCACCCGGCGCACCATAGCCTCGCTCTGGAAACATTAAAACATTGCCATAAACCCGGGGCACCATAGCCTCGCACTGGAAACATCAAAACATTGCCATAAACTTCTGTAGTTTATAGTAATCACCAGGGGCACCATAGCCTCGCGTTTTAAATAGATACTTACCAATTTTGCCTGCAAGACTGCTAGCCTCGCACTGGAAACATCAAAACATTGCCATAAACTTCTGTAGTTTATAGTAATCACCCGGGCCACCATAGCCTTGCTCTGGAAACATTAAAACATTGCCATAAACTTCTGTAGTTCATATTAATCACCCAGGGCACCATAGCTAGCTCTGGAAACATTAAAACATTGCCATAAACTTCTGTAGTTCATAGTAATCACCCAGGGCACCATAGCCTCGCTCTGGAAACATTAAAACATTGCCATAAACTTCTGTAGTTTATAGTAATCACCCGGGGCCCCATAGCCTTGCTCTGGAAACATTAAAACATTGCCATAAACCTGGGGACACCATAGCCTCATTCTGGAAACATTAAAACATTGCCATAAACTTCTGTAGTTTATAGTAATCACCCGGGGCACCATAGCCTCGCTCTGGAAACATTAAAATGTTGCCATAAACTTCTGTAGTTTCTGTTTAGATATATGAATTGTTCTAAAAACTGTGTGTTCGTTCAAATTAAGTACAGTAGGTAGCAACATGCTAATGTCAACAATGAAACCAACTTTTTTAAAGCACTCTGCTACGAACTGTATATGATAAAGTGGTGTCTTTTGAAACACAGGAGTTCTATGAAGAACACTTGTACATCAGTAAATTAAATATACCACTGACATCAACTATTAAATGTAAACAAAATGGTTGTTATCAGTTAATCACTACATACATTTGGAAAGGAAATAACTTTTTCAACTGTGATAGAAGAGTTCAGGACCTACACATTGCTGTTTAAGTGTTTGAAGTTTGTCCTCCCGCCGAGCTGACAACACCAGACGACACCCTGCTGACGCCAGTTTCAGGGTCACAGCCTCTCCTATACCACTTGATGCTCCAGTCACCCACACAACCTTTCCCTTCAGACATCCTGAAACGATTCATACTCTCAAGTGCCACTATATAAAACTGCATGTTCATCCAATTCTTTCTGTTGAAGTAAATTGTTAAACATAAATATGGATATTACAAACAAAGAATGATCTTGACACACTTGATGTGGGCAGACCTTTAATTTGCTGTTACAATTTTGAGGTCAAAACTGAATTGTTCACATTTTACAACACTAAATCTGTAGCAATTTAAAATGAATATATCGGTCCATTAATTCATTTGTTATTTTTCATGCAAGATACAATGTACACCTAATAGTAATTTTGGTATGTTGATGTATTATAATACAATATATAAATCATTTTGTATTTAATACAATCCTTCTGCAAGCTGTTGACTTGTCTGCTTAAGACACCTTACAATCAATGTTTTATGTTTATTTCATCCGACATATCAGTATGTATCTTCTTATGATTAAACGATTTTTTTATTCTAGGACAGCATTTAAGTTACTAATTATGACTTAAATGTGTTATAAAATTTAAAGTTACCTGGAGCTTTACCGATGTGTTGCATCCATGTCAGAGCGAGGTCACAGTCAGTCTGCAATAGTGTGAACATTTGCAGGACCAGAAAAAGTATTACACAGCCCACCAGGACATATAGCCAGTCCATCTGGAACATTATACCAGACATACAGCTACATGTAGTCCAGCTGTTGTTTTTATAAGAACAAACAACCAGTCCATCTGTTATATTATGCCAAGACATACATGAACAGCTAGTCCATCTGTTATATTATGCCAAGACATACATGTACAGCCAGTCCATGTTATATTATGCCAAGACATACATGAACAGCCAGTCCATCTGTTATATTATGCCAAGACATACATGTACAGTCAGTCATTCTGTTATATTATGCCAAGACATGCATGTACAGCCAGTCCATCTGTTATATTATGCCAAGACATACATGTACAGCCAGTCTATCTGTTATATTATGCAAAGACATACATGTACAGCCAGTCCATCTGTTATATTATATGCCAAGACATACATGTACAGCCATTCCATCTGTTATATTATACCAAGACATACATGTACAGCCAGTCCATGTTATATTATGCCAAGACATACATGTACAGCCAGTCTATCTGTTATATTATGCCAAGACATACATGTACAGTCAGTCCATCTGTAATATTTTATACCAAGACATACATGTTGTCAGTTTTTCTGTTATATATTATACCAGGACATATATGTACAGCTAATTCAACCTGTAATATTATACTAAGATATACATGTACAGTCAGTCCATCTGTTATATTATACCAGGACAGTTAAATATATATGCAACATTTGAATTATAGTGCCCTATCTAGCTAGAAATATAAGCCACTTTCAAGTGTTTTATAATACATATGCAATTTATATCATCAAGACAATTAACATATACATTAAATAATACATTAATCAATACAATTTTGAATAATTTACAGGAGCTGTCTTATCAGGCGCTAACTTCTAGTCCTATGCCACCTGGCTAATATCTCCCTACATGTGTGTATGCCTGCGGGTGTGATATGGAGATGTATCATGTTCTGTTTGTAGTGGCACCATACTTCCAACAGCATCTTTTATAGTGTCATCTCACTTGAATGCTACAGCACAGATACCGCAACACCCACCCCAGACCATTTTGTATTCCAGTTGTTGGAGTTGTGTGGGTAGAAGAAAAACACTTTTTCTGAATATTCCATGTATACAACGACTTTGGGGATCCAACCCTGGACGCCTGTGTGCCCGAGTGTTTAGCCATGGCCAATCCGCCTATTATATCATACCGGGATATACATGTACAGCCAGCCCATCTATTATATTGTTACATGCAGTGGTAACGGTTCTTACCACGGGTACCTGAGAATTTGTTACAGCTTTATTTGGACCTAAACCACAGGGGCTTGTAGAGACTTATATGATAGCTAGAAATACCTATAAGGTGACAGTACCCAAATCGGATCACCAAACCATCATTTTATTAAATCATTGAAAAAAATCTGAACAGGAATTATATTCATTTATGGTTGTATCAAAGGAAGAATATCGATGGGTGTTCTTACAAACGAAATTAGCACCCGGGGCTCACTTGTGATATTTATAGAACGCTCTGAAGTCACCAATCAGCGTCTCCAGTTTATGCGAATGTCAGGACCCAAATTGGATCAAGGCTTGAATTTTGCAGTATCTTATGCTTCAAATGAATAATTTTTGGCAGCATATTAGCATTTTATGATGACCTTAAGAATTTATATGACAAAGTCAACAAGTATTTCTATAGTGTGAATTTATTCCTATAGTCCAAAACAGAATGCATAGTTGTCACACGCGCCATCTTTTTTAAACGTGATCAAAACACTGACATTGGAGTTTGAATTACGTTTTCTTGTGCTATTTGAACTTAAAAACTAATCATCTGTAGACAAAAAATGGTTCATGGATATCTATTCTAAGACTACATCACCATAGTGAGCTTATGCCGTGGCCCAGCATCCATTGTCAGTCGTTCGTTGTCCTTCGTCAACTTTTTCTTTAAAACCTAACTCCTCCTAAATGAGGTTTTCCACCAAATTTGGACTGAAGCATCAATAGGGACGGGCAATCATTTCTTAAATAAATGAGGTTGGTTCGACCCCTTAGGTCAGGGCCATGAAGGGGAACTTAGCTAAATTTGCTTTAAAACGCATCTCTTCCTAAACACCAGAGAGGATTTCAACCAAATTTAGTCTAAAGCATCACTAGTGGAAGGCAATCATTTCTTATATATATGAGTTTGGTTCGACCCCTGAGGCCAGGGGGGCGGGGCCTTGAATGGGAACTTAGCTAAATTTGCTTTAAAATGCATCTCCTGCTAAACGCCAGAGAGGATTTCAACCAAATTCAGTCTGAAGCATCAGTAAGGGATTGCAATCATTTCTTAAATAAATGAGGTTGGTTCGACCCCTGAGGCCAGGGGGGGAGGGCCCTGAATGGATACTTAGCTAAAATCTTGCTTTAAAACGCATCTCCTCCTAAACGATTTTAACCAAATTTGCTCTGAAACTTCATTGGGGGTGGGCAATCATTTCCTAAATAAATGAGGCTGGTTCGACCCCTGGGGATAGAAAGGCCGGGCCCTACAAAGAGGAAAATTATCTAATATTTTGCTTTAAGACGATAATACCCCCTAATTGCCAGAGAGGATTGTACAATATTTGGTCAAAAACATTATTGAGGAAGAACAAACATTTCTTAATTGAATGAGGTTGATTTGACCCCTGCGGTCCTAAGAAATGGTACAGCTAGATTATCATATTCTAAGGTGTAGTTTTCATAAATCGTTAAAAATTGGTTTCTAGGTTTATAAAAGCTTATAGTTGAATGAAAATTAAAGTATTGTCTAATTACACCCTGTAATATAACATATTACTTATTCCAAAATCTGTTAACATGCCAACTCAATGGAGGCCCCTGATTAGTTGGAAGTCAGATATTGTGGTCCCATGATACGTTAATATAATAATTAATATTGAAGAATATCAACTAAACTTATTGATGACTTTCGATCTACATTGGTGTTACTGTTAGGTATATTTCATGTAGAGTATGTGAGAGCGGAGTCAGCTTTTCACAGCTGCCGTTTGTCACACTCGCTTAAAAACAAGACAAACACTTTTTTTATGAAATTGATTTTAATGATATGGAAGACTAAGAAGACTTAATTTGTGACTTAAAACTACTAAAATTAAAAGACAAAAAAATGCAATACCAAACAATGTTTCGCCCCAGATATTTTTGTTTTAGGGCGAAAAAACTAGTGCAAAACAACCCAGAACCGGTTAGAACATAGATCTTGTCTGGTTTTGAGGAAATTTCATATAAAACGCTAATATCTCCTAATTGCCTGAGTGGATTGATTGTACAAAATTTGGTCAAAAACATTATTGAGAAAGAACAGACATTTCTTTTTTGAATGAGGTCGATTTGACCCCTGCGGTCCTAAGAAATTGTACAGCTAGATTATCATATTCTATGGTGTAGTTCTTAAATTGTTAAAAATTGGTTTCTAGGTCTATAAAAGCTTATAGTTGAATGAAAATTAAAGCATTGTCCAATTACACCCTGTAATATGACATATTACTTATTTCAAAATCTGTTAACATGGCATCTCAATGGAGGCCTCTGATTAGTTGAAAGTCAGATATTGTGGTCCCAGTTGGGTTAGAACATATAGATCTTGTCTGGTTTTGAGGAAATTTCATATAAAGATGTACTAATGCATTCAGTTGTAATGACTTAAATATAAAACCACGTGAGCAATACAGGTCCAATTGACCTCTTGTTATGACTGATATTTGTTGACATATTTATTTATTTATAAGTATTTTTGCAAAAAGTGATCCGATTTGGGTACTGCCTTCTTATAGTGTTTATTTATAGGTATTTTCTAGCTAATTTTATCATATAAGTTTATACAAGCCCCTGTGCCTAAACTAATGAGTAATTTTACACGTTTGGGGGTATATTCATCATTGAGGGTGGCATTTTTACCGAAAAATGATCTAACCCCCCCGTGTGAAATTACTCTAAACACCGTAGTTTAGGTCCAATATACATAATATGTACATGTAGCTGTAACATATTCTCAGGTCCCTGTGGTTTACCCGGCAAACTTTACTTGTTTTACTTTACCTATGGTCCCCTAAAAATGCATCATGTTAGCTTTTCGGATATATTCTACTTTACATAAAGCATAATACTCACTAGGCCTATTTATCAGACTGGATCACTTAGGAACAGCTACGAACACTTGACCGCCGACTCGTTCAAAGTTCGATTGTATGTTGTGATTGCGCAATACCGGAAACAAGGGGAGATAATTAAGAATAATATTTAAAATGTAAACAAATTCATGTGACTGTTCTCTACAACATTCATTTGCTGTTTGTAGTAGCTCGTGAACAGGATGAAGTGGACTGCTCCCGTGTTTACGGTTGTAATAGCGGCCCTTTGTACCAGTCTGTGTGAGGGAATACTTGGTATGATCACGGAATTAGATTAGATTGTTATCTAAGTATTTCATACATGCCTTTGTCAGTGTATATGATGGGCTCATAACTTTTCCTCAAAATGAAAAAAAAATGGAAGTCGGTTGGTATACCCATGTCAAGAACAATGTCAATGATGACCTTTGCAGAAATTATATTCTTGATTTTGTCTGAAATGTAACTTTTGAATGCAGATTTTTAGTGGCGCAAAATTGCATTGAATATTATATAATAATTCATGAAAACACTTACCTGTACATGCATTTCTGAAGTATCCGTGTATTGACTATTATTGAGAAAAATGTAAGAAAATACTTCAAATCTCAAGAATAATGGCATGTATTTTCATTGGATATTTTACAATAATTCATGAAGCTAACAAGGCTATTGATACTAGTCAAGCCAGATTACCTGAGTGAGAACCTGAAGGTGTTTTGAATGATGTACAGGTAAAATCGCACCTGCTTTGCATGCTTTTCCCCAACTTCAGGCAGCCTTGTTGGCTTTATGCTCAGTTGTGATTTATTCAGTGGAAATATATGCTATTATTCTGGAGATTTGATACATTTTCTTACATTTTTCGCGATAATAGTCAATATAAATGGATACTTCAGGAATGCATGTTCAGGTAAGTTTTTTCATTAATTCCATTATTCATTGCAATTTTGCGCCACTAGAATTCTGCATTCAAATGTTACTTTTCAGACAAAGTCAACAATATTTTCAACAAATAATTTCTGCAAAGGTCATTATTGACATTTTTTAATACAATACGGAAGGACGATAGAATTGTTGAGACTGTAAAGTTTTCCTTCACATATCACCATTAAACTTAAAAGTTTTGCATTTTGCATTGTGTTTATTGTACAAGTGTACGGGTTGTCGCCCTTAATCCGGACAATTTTTAGCTCACCTGGCCCGAAGGGCCAAGTGAGCTTATCCCATGGTGCAGCGTCCGGCGTCCGGCAACTTTTTCCTTTAAAATGCTACTTGTCCTGAATGGCTCAGAGGATTTTGACCAAATTTGGTCAGGAGCATCATTGGCCAAAGGGTTCTCAGTTTTGTATAAACGGAGGGTATAACCCCCCTGGGGGCAGAGGGGCGGGGCAAAATAGGGGGAAAATAGGTAAATCTTTAAAAATCTTCTTCTTCTCAACCAATAGAAGGATTTTGACCAAATTTGTCCTAGAGCATCTTTGGACAAAGGAGACTCAAGTTTGTATAAACGGAGGGTGTGGCCTCTTTGGGGGCAGAGGGGCGGGGCCAAATAGGGGAAGTAGAGGATTTTTTCTCTCCTACTATACAAGTGAAGGGATTTAAACCAAATGCAGTCTGAAGCTTGGTCAGGAGCATCATTGGCCAAAGGGTTCTCAGTTTTGTATAAACGGACGGTATAGCCCCCCCTCGGGGCAGAGGGGCGGGGCTAAATAAGGGGAAAAAAGGTAAATCTTTAAAAATGTTCTTCTTCTCAACCAATTGAAGGATTTTGACCAAATTTGTCCTAGAGCATCTTTGGACAAAGAAGACTCAAGTTTGTATAAACGGAGGGTGTGGCCCCTCTGGGGGCGGAGGGGCGGGGCCCAATAGGGGAAATAGAGGATTTTTTTTCTCCTGCTATACAAGTGAAGGGATTTTAACCAAATGCAGTCTGAAGCATGATTAGGGACAAAAGAATCAATTTTGTATAAACTGAGGTGTGTGGGCCTCCTTCTAAGGGCAGATGGGTGGGGCCCATTAGGGGAAATAGAGGAAAACATCAAATATCCTTCTCCTTTTGTACCGATGAAGGGATTTTGACCAAATTTGGTCTGGAGCATCATTGGCCAAAGGGTTCTCAGTTTTGTATGAACGGAGGGTATGGTCCCCCTGGGGGCAGAGGGACGGGGCCAAATAGGGGAAAATAGGTAAATCTTTAAAAATCTTCTCCTCAACCAATTGAAGGATTTTGACCAAATTTGTCCTAGAGCATCTTTGGACAAAGGAGACTCAAGTTTGTATAAACGGAGGGTGTGGGCCTTCTGGCGGCATAGGAGCGGGGCCCAATAGGGGAAATAGAGGATTTTTTTTCTCCTACTATACAAGTGAAGGGATTTAAACCAAATGCAGTCTGAAGCATGCTTAGGGAGAAAAGAATCAATTTTGTTTAAACTGAGGTGTGTGGATTCCCCTTCTTTGGGGCAGATTAGTGGGGCCCATTAGGGGAAATAGAGGAAAACATTAAAGATCCTTCTCCTTCTGTACCGTTGAAGGGATTTTAACCTAACCAAACTTGTTTTAGAGAATCTTTGGGCAAAGGGAATTGAATATTTATAAATGGAAGATGCAACTTTGTTACTTGTACTCCTTTGATAAACCTGAATGGTACTCAGCAGGTTTTAAATTGAAAAATAAAATACCAGGTGAGCTATTAAGGCCCCTGGGCCTCTTGTTTGTGTATATATTTACATTCCCATTGAAACATGATACATTATGTTCATTATGTAATATTTAATGCAATCAACAATACGGAAGACGGGAGTTTAAACACTTTTAACTAGAATTTATACTTAGTGACAAAATATATCTAACAGTTATAACTAAAATTTACGTAATGATAAAATATATCTAATAAATATAATCTAATATATATAATCCATATATATACGTAATGGTATCAGGGCCAGAGGAAACTCGGGCTAATATTTCCCTTAGTTTAAGTACATGATTATTCAATTTTAAATTATGTAATTTATTTTGGTGTCATATAGGGCTAGGTAGGTAGGGATTGGCCTAACCATGCATGCACCTGTCCTGCAACACATTTATACCCATGTTTAAATTTGTATGTTTCTTGAATGCGACGTTAAATAAATATGATTAATTCTTGTATCTTGGAAATTAGATAAGAAAAGAGACAATTAAGCCCTAGCTCATGACCATGTTATGACAGAGTTGGATTTCCAGCTCGACTTACAACTGTCTGTGTTGGGCAATAGTTTAGATAAGATGTATAAATATATTCAAATGGCTCTTGACCTTCAAATTAGTGTATATTGGCACCTGTTACTGTAATAAATCATTATCATACAATTGTATCAGTCCAATATTGGGAACCTTCCCTTAACATTTCAATGTGCCAGCTTATTACTGGAGAACAGAAGATACATATATACTTAGCCCAAGTAAAATTCAATAATTAAACAAATATTTCTTATTAATTAATGTGATTAAATAACATTATGTAAATGATCAAGCAGATAGTGTTACAGATATTATTTGTCAGTTCATCAAAGGGTCTTGTTGGCATATTAGCTGGATATGGAACTTGTGCAGACTCTGCTGGGAGTAACTGATTAGCTTATATACTAATTATTCTATGAGAGTTTAACTTTAAGACACATATATCTCCTTAATGACAAAATGTTTTAATTCATTTCAAGTTCATTCAGTTTGTTAAACTTGCTTCAATACCAATCCTCAACAATACACATTATTAGTTAGGACTGAATAATGAATAGTTGAGTTACTAAATATTTTTATGGTGAGATTTTGATCAGTTCTGTTTTGATAATTAAATTTAGGAAACCATTTTTGGAAGATTCGAAGACTGGTGGAGACAAGAAGAATCAATGGCTTATCAGATGGTCAGATACTTGGAAAACCCAGTTCAGTTTCGGAACTGTTTATAACCCAGCCGTTGGACCATTTTGACAGATTATCACAGGTAACAGGATTGACTACCCAATTTTGAAAAATAGAGGACATTTACTGCAGATTTCCCACTAAATACCATAAATGATTCATGATTATGGGAAAATACTGGTATGTTTTCTTGAATGCAAAACAGTACTGTACTGGTTGACACCATCTCAAGGTATTTATAACTGGTCGTTACATGTTCATCTTCTGACTCTGATGAACATGTAACTCGCCAGCACACTAGAGTTTCACTACCAAAAGATCAGCATTACCTACTGTATAACACGGAACTACCAGTAAACTTGCATTGCTAGTTGAGGAAATCATTTTCCATTACACCATACATTTTGTTAGACAGGTTGTTTATTTCTAGGCACATTTTTCTGTTGTTTGCCAGAGTCAAAACTTTTTTATTATTGTAAATTAATAATGAGATACAATTAGGGACCAATATGCCATAAGTTGTAATTAATGTGAAATTTTAAAAATTTAAAAATTTAAAAATAAAATAAAAATTATAGATAAAACAGAAAAAGTGCATTATTGCATAATGCTTAGGTAATATCCACTTAATGACTTATTCAACCTTTTATCTCTGAAACAGAAATACTTCAGCAAAATTATATGTATATGCAAGACCAAGTTCATGCATGTATGTTAGTAAAATGTACATTATGTTTTAGCCAGCTCCACTAGTCTAATAATTTATACATATATCTGTCAGTTTAGTAAATATTATTTATCCCATGTACTGTAGTTGTAAGCAGCAATTGTAGACAGAATAGTAAAACTACAGCAGGGATATTTCCACCAATAAACATAGCTTCACAACGGTTAAAATTTGCTGGAGTGGTCAAGAGTTTAATCATTTTTGATTATATAAATTGAAAACTCTATCAACAAAAAAATTAGTGTATTATCTGAGGTAGTGTTGTGTTTTGTAGGAGGCTGGAGAAACATTCCAACAGCGAGTGTTTGTCAATGATCAGTTCTATGAAACACCTAAAGGTCCTGTATTTCTGTATATTGGAGGGGAGGGAACTCTGAATCCTATGGCAGCCAAAGCAGGTAATGTACCTTCATGTATAGGGAGTATATGATTCACCGATAATGATGATGATTAGGAATTTTATTTGCATATTGTGTATTGATAATGTGATATGAATCTTAAAATAATTCTCTGTTCATAAAAATTATTATTAAATGATAAGACCTATGGAACTTTTCCGAAGTGTTAAATTAAGCTTCCTAAAAGTTTTCAAAAATAGAAACTGACTTGAAACATGAATCTGATATGAAATGCAATCTCATTAGGATCCTGTATGATATGTTTATGATTATGTTTCTAATATGACTTCATTTCTTTACACTGCTTTGTATAACAGGTCACTGGAGGTCACAGTGAACTGATATGTTAATTGCCTGAGCTTAAGAAAATAGGTGACATGTGGTGCTAAAGGATCAAGGTGATATGTGGTGCTAAGGGATATAGGTGACATGTGGTGCTAAACGTTCAAGGTGACATGTGGTGCTAAGGGATAAAGGTGACATATTGTACTAAGAGATATAGGTGGCATGTGGTGCTAAGGGATATAGGTGATTTGTTGTGCTAAGGGATATAGGTGACATGTTGTACTAAGAGATAAAGGAGACATGTGGTGCTGAGGGAGAAAAATGACATGTGGTGCCAAGAGATAATGTGGTGCTGAGGGATATAGGTGACATGTTGTACTAAGAGATATAGGTGACATGTGGTGCTGAGGGAGGAAAATGAAATGTGGTGCCAAGAGATATAGGTGAAATGTGGTGCTGAGGGATATAGGTGACATGTTGTACTAAGGGATATAGGTGACATGTGGTGCTGAGGGAGAAAAATGACATGTGGTGCCAAGAGATATAGGTGAAATGTGGTGCTGAGGGATATAGGTGACATGTGGTGCTAAGGGATATAGGTGACATGTGGTGCTGAGGGATAAAGGTGGCATGTGGTGCTAAGGGATATAGGTGACATGTGGTGCTGAGGGAGAAAAATGACATGTGGTGCCAAGAGATATAGGTGAAATATGGTGTTAAGGGATATAGGTGACATGTTGTGCTAAGGGATATAGGTGACATGTGGTGCTAAGGGATATAGGTGACATGTGGTGCCAAGGGATATAGGTGACATGTGGTGCTAAGGGATATAGGGGACATGTGGTGCTAAGGGATATAGGTGATTTGTTGTGCTAAGGGATATAGGTGACATGTGGTGCTGAGGGAGAAAAATGGCATGTAGTGCCAAGGGATATAGGTGACATGTGGTGCTAAGGAATATAGGTGACATGTTGTGCTTAGGGATATATCTGAGTCATATGGTGCTAAGGAATATAAATGACATATGGTACTAAGGGATATAAATGACATATGGTACTAAGGGATATAAATGACATATGGTACTAAGGGATATAGTTGATGTGTGGTGCTGAGGGATATAGGAAACATGTGGTGCTTTGTTTACATTGTTTTTTTAAACAGGATTCTAATTACAATAAAATCTTTTAACAGCAAAAGTGGCCAATATGTAAAAGTTTCAAAATGGATGATACACATTGTAAGTTATCTTTTCTTAGGTTTTCCAGCAGAATTGGCTAAACCCCATGGTGCTTTGATTGTGGCAGCTGAGCATCGTTTCTATGGAGCGAGTATCAATGACGATGGCCTCAAGTTGGATTCCCTCCGACATTTGTCCAGTCAGCAAGCGTAAGTTATAGAAGTCTCCTTTAGTGTATATTGTACCTGGGAGGGGCAATCCTAGAGCTCTATCATTTCAGTATAGAAAAGGATAGATTTAGGAATCTTTGTTTATAACAAGTACAATATATCAGTATAGAAAAGGATAGATTTAGGAATCTTTGTATATAACAAGTACAATATATCAGTATAGAAAAGGATAGATTTAGGAATCTTTGTATATAACAAGTACAATATATCAGTATAGAAAAGGATAGATTTAGGAATCTTTGTATATAACAAGTACAATATATCAGTATAGAAAAGGATAGATTTAGGAATCTTTGTATATAACAAGTACAATATATCAGTATAGAAAAGGATAGATTTAGGAATCTTTGTATATAACAAGTACAATATATCAGTATAGAAAAGGATAGATTTAGGAATCTTTGTATATAACAAGTACAATATATCAGTATAGAAAAGGATAGATTTAGGAATCTTTGTATATAACAAGTACAATATATCAGTATAGAAAAGGATAGATTTAGGAATCTTTGTATATAACAAGTACAATATATCAGTATAGAAAAGGATAGATTTAGGAATCTTTGTATATAACAAGTACAATATATCAGTATAGAAAAGGATAGATTTAGGAATCTTTGTATATAACAAGTACAATATATCAGTATAGAAAAGGATAGATTTAGGAATCTTTGTATATAACAAGTACAATATATCAGTAGACTTTGATTTTATTTACTTTTTAATAAAAATGTATATTAGATAAATACTTATTTATTTGAATTTAATTGAATAATGTGTATTCTGTCCCTTAGATTATTTGCACATGTCTTTTCCTATGCTTTTACAAAATTGTGAAGGAATACTGAACGCCTCCATATATTGGCCTTCATCATAAAATATCTAAGATTCAATTAAGCATAGATTTAAGAGGGTTTGATGTTCGTTACCAGGACATTAAGTTATATGTTGTGCTTCTCAATTCCAGTTTAGGCATCTCAGTTGAAATGTAAATAAGATAAGCTGTTATGATGACTGAATGCAACGTTTAGACGCTGCTTTACTGAAGCAGACTCAACAAGTCTGAATGTTTGATTATAAAATTAGTGAATTCTAGTTTTCTCACGTATTAACACACCCCCCCCCCTTCATCTAACTGTGTGCTATATTCTACCACAGAATACTGTTATATAGTCTTGTAACACATTGCTATAGGTAAAACACTGTTTAATAAGGTCTGACAGGGTCTCATGTTAGTTAGCCAGTAATAGCATAGTAATAATGATTTATTAAGATATTTCACATTCCTAATGTCAATTTGTGAAGGTCTTGGAACAGCGGAATTGGTGTTGAATCAGATCAGTGACATCCTATAAGTGGTCCCTTTAGTATGTGTTATAGTCTCACTAAAGGTATGTTGATTCTCTATGCATTGCTATTGGAGGATGCAGAGCAAATATGAAAGATATTCTGGTGAAAGTGATAGGTCATGTGTCACATAGAAACGCTTTCTTTGCAATATAAATCATGTTGATCGAATCCTATTTATCAACTATTATTTTCTAAGAAAAAAATGGATTAAACATTTCCAAAAGTTCCTCCCATTAAAAAAAACACTGTTTATGAACATATTTGTCAATGAAGTTAATTTTCTTGAGTATCAGGCCACAGAAATTGTTGTGTGTCATTGATGGAACATATTTACCATACGATAATACACATACTCAACAGACTAGCTGACCTGGCAGAGGTCCACACCTACATATCTCAGAGGTATAACCTGTCACGGGATCACCCCTGGGTCTGCTTCGGTGGTAGCTACGCTGGAGCTCTATCAGCATGGTTCAGGGTCAAGGTCAGTCACATCATATACTCCATGTTATTGATTGTATTCAGGGTCAAGGTCAGTCACATCATATACTCCATGTTATTGATTGTATTCAGGGTCAAGGTCACTGCTTACCAAGATATTGTCGAAAATGTTGAACAATACCTAGAAGTTCTAAAAATGGAAATCAATGTAAAAGATGTACAATTTCTTGTGAAGAAAATATGTTCAGAACCAAGTGAAGAATATAAGCTTAGATATTACTGCTAAATAGTATGTAAGGAAGATTGTATCTTAAATCTAATATGATTTATACATGAATATTGCATATAAATCTATATAACTACATGTATGCTATGTATATTTTATATAATACTACATAATTATGATATATATACATGTGTGATCATTATATGATACTACTGTACATATACATACATTGTATAATACTTCATCATTATGACTTTATCATACCTTAACTTTTATATAATTTACTCCTGGTACATGTACTAGTGATGGGCTGATGATCGATTATAATCGAAAATCGAATGGTTTGCCCTTTTTGATTCGGATTATCGATTACAAATAATTGATATAATCGGTTCATTATTGAAATCAGAGTATTTAAATGTTTACCATGTAAAGTATGCTTTGAAAGTCATAAATATTGTTATGATTTATACTATATGAATGATAAAAATGCATAAAAGTTACTTGAAATCCATTCAGTATAAAAGAATGAAACCTGATGTATAATTAATGAACAACTCTGTGTATTGGTGTAATAGTAGTGTATAGTAAACAACTCTGTGTATTGGTGTAACAGTAGAGTATAGTAAACAACTCTGTCTATTGATGTAACAGTAGCGTATAGTAAACAACTCTGTGTATTGGTGTAAGAGTAGTGTATAGTAAACAACTCTGTGTATTGGTGTACTAGTAGTGTATAGTAAACAACTCTGTGTATTTGGGTAACAGTAGTGTATAGTAAACAACTCTGTGTATTGGTGTAACAGTAGAGTATAGTAAACAACTCTGTGTATTGGTGTAACAGTAGAGTATAGTAAACAACTCTGTCTATTGATGTAACAGTAGCGTATAGTAAACAACTCTGTGTATTGGTGTAACAGTAGAGTATAGTAAACAACTCTGTCTATTGATGTAATAGTAGTGTATAGTAAACAACTCTGTGTATTGGTGTAAGAGTAGTGTATAGTAAACAACTCTGTGTATTGGTGTAACAGTAGAGTATAGTAAACAACTCTGTCTATTGATGTAATAGTAGTGTATAGTAAACAACTCTGTCTATTGCTGTAACAGTAGTGTATAGTAAACAACTCTGTGTATTGGTGTAATAGTAGTATATAGTAAACAACTCTGTCTATTGATGTAACAGTAGCGTATAGTAAACAACTCTGTGTATTGGTGTAATAGTAGTGTATTGTAAACAACTCTGTGTATTGGTGTAATAGTAGTGTATTGTAAACAACTCTGTGTATTGGTGTAATAGTAGTGTATTGTAAACAACTCTGTGTATTGGTGTAATAGTAGTGTATAGTAAACAACTTTGTGTATTGGTGTAATAGTAGTGTATAGTAAACAACTCTGTGTATTTGGGTAACAGTAGTGTATAGTAAACAACTCTGTGTATTGGTGTACTAGTAGTGTATAGTAAACAACTCTGTGTATTGGTGTAATAGTAGTGTTCTCACTTTATTAGGGTATTCAGTCCTGACAAATTATTAACCGATTACACAATCGATCATCGATTGGTTTACTACTTCTGATTATAAACCGATTATCGATTATGATTTTAAACCGATAGCCAATCACTACCTGGAACAAGGGAATACATGTTTGTCTTCTGCCCCAACAGTACCCCCACCTAGTGGTTGGAGCCCTAGCCTCATCTGCCCCCGTCATGGCTCTCACCAACTTTGAGGGTTACAATGATGTGGTTGCAGCCAGCTTAGAGTCTTCCATTGTCGGAGGTACAGAGGAGGTAAGTACATATAGATATCAAAAATGAAAGACGATCACATTTTCTCATGAGTTCAGAATAAGAATTACTTTGATTTTATACGCTCAGAAAAATGTGTGCATGTTACATGTAGGTGGCAACATAAAAGCCCTTTTTGAGACAGAAATACTCACTCAAACTTTTCACGGGCTGATTCCTAGCTAAATTGCTTTCGTGGGAAAGAAAGTCTTATGTTTATGTCACTGTAACTATAAATCAGCTTCCTTGATTCCCCAAAACTGTTCACTATTAATTTGTAGTTTACAGATACACTGCTTTTATTACTTTAATGTACAATAATTGATAAACAATGGATATGTGAAGATGTTTATTTTTTCTACATAACTTTGTGGCCTCACAGTGACTTACCACTGTGTGTTCCTGTGTGATATATTACAAAACCTAATTGTCTTTGCCTCGGTGATAAAATATATATATTTTGTCTAACCGCCAGTGTATGACCCAGATCCAGCAAGCGTTTATCCAGATTGATGCCCTGTTGAAGCTTGGTAACCACAAGATGTTGGAGGGCTACTTCAAGTCGTGTCAACCTGTCACCGACCCCTTAGACAGACTTACGTTTGTATCGAACCTGGCGTCCATCATCCAGGGCGCAGTCCAGTACAACAGGGAAATACCTGGGTTAGACATTGATACGATATGTGGAATAATGCAGGTGACCAGTGACCCACTTGCGAACCTGGCCTCTCTTAACTTAGTACGTATTATAATCAATCGGTACAAATCTGGCGGCTCCAAACTTTGTACAAATCATAATCAAGCGGTACAATTCTGTTCTTCACACAGTTACAAATGGAGTATTATAACATTCTAAAAATGACCATGCCATGAACATGACTTTATTGAACTTGAGACAGACACTGCATGAGCATGTCTGATAACCTGTTTCATCCAAATTAATGATGAACTCATTGACCATTTTTTCGCATAAAATCATGTTAATTTAATTAATGTTTAAGAAAATATTTTTGTAACAGAAATTCATGGAAATTATGAATATGTCCTGTGAGAACAACTCCTATACAGAAAGTGTGAGAATGTTGGCCAACACGACGGTGGACAGGAAGGCACAGGGAGCTGGCATCCGACAGTGGACCTGGCAGACTTGTACACAGTTCGGATACTGTAAGATCAACATACAGCAGCAGTATTTCTAGTATACTGTAAAATATGTACTGTGAAATCAGATATTTTCATGGGGCACAAATTGCGTGGTTTCCTGACAAAACACCAATTCGTGGGTACATGAATTTTTTAATTACAAGTAACCACTCAATGGGAGAATTGCTTTATATCAAACATATAATTACTTTGTGGACCTGTGACTTTGTGGATGAAGATTACCCACAAAATAAATGAATTGTATGAAATTGTGAAGGGGCAGTTGCAAATTGATATTAAAAGTTTTAATTATCAGGTAAATCATCTACTGTGTACCAGGAAATGTTTGCTGCAGTTTATTTATCACCTTTTTTCGTCTGCCACAATGAGGGCAAATTTATTATTACAACGAAAGTAGGTAAACAACATAATACGCATAGTAATTAAATATAAAGGAGGAAAGCAACACTGGGGCGAATACAGATTGTCCTGGTGAAGGGCCAAAATTTCCTGGTATACAATATACATTTGTAATGTCAAAAGTTCTTTTCTGTCAGTGGTAATACTCATGTTAGAAATTAATTAGAAATAAATGAGAATAACTCCAGCATAGTTTTTAGTTTGATGTAAGGAGTTGTGGCCCTTTGTGTTCCCAGACCAGACATGTGATGCCAACACCAGCTGTCCATTCTCCCACCTAATAGACCTGACCAGTCAGACCCAGCTCTGCCGCGACTTTTTCAGTATCTCACCAAAGGACATTCCAAAGTTTGTGGGCTTCACCAACGAGTACTACGGTGGAAGTAGTCCACGTGGCAGCAAGATCATCTTCTCAAACGGTCAGATTTGTATTTGTCTATCTAGTTCATAGCAAATTGTATATACCAAATTAAAGAAAAACTTTTATAGGTGATTATTTTTAATGAATTTTGAAATCATTATTAATATTATCACTTAAATAAAAACTTTGAAAGGCATTCAAGAATTAAACAATTTTTCTTACACTTTCAAAACTTCACACCAAAAAGGTTACACCGGTAGTTATTTTTTTCCAAAAATGACAAAATCTAATTTTTACAAAATAATACTTAATGCATTGGTGGTTGTAGGTTCCATTGACCCCTGGCACAAGTTGGGTGTACTGACTGGCCTCAGTGCCACAGAACAGGCGGTGTTTATAGAGGGCACTGCACATTGTAATGACCTGATGCCTAGTAAACCCAAGGATCCACCACAATTAACCGCGGCACGAAGGGTAAGTTAAATAATCACAAGATTACAACCACTCATATAACCTCTTGCTATGACACAACAGGGAAGTCTATAACTATTCAACATGGTTCAATAGTTAATTTGACAAAATATCCCAAAATAGGATTTTCATTTGCATCTTACTGTAAATGTATTTAGGAGTTTCTGAATTGAGGTGTACGTAAAGAAATCCCCTATTAAAAATAGGTATTTTAAAGCAAGTTTGTACCTCCTAACCTCCCAATCACTCAGAGTAACAGGACAAGTCAACAATGGTATTTCCACTTTAGAAATATTTAGAAATCTTTCTGGCTCGGTCAATTTAGGAGTTCTATGGATGTGTATTGCAGTATACTGAAAAATGCACCCAAAAAAGTGGGTTGGCACTGAAGTTTGATTCACACATATAGTCACACTGTAATATACCTAATCATCAATCATTTATAGATTGATGACTTATTTGAACAAGTGGGATATTCTGTTCTGTTAAGACAAATTGATGCCAGTAAAAATGATATCTTTTTTCTTTATTATTTTTCAGAAAATTGCATCAATAATAACAGGATGGCTAAAAGATGAACAAAGAGTGTATTAATTTTCCTGTAAATATAAGCTAGCTTTTATGGTATAAAAGGAAGACGAAGCCAGGATCTTCAACGAAGTCAAAGCTTTTTTACTTAATAATTTGTGTACATTGTACCTTGTGTACCAGTATCTTTACATTGTACCTTGTGTAGTACCAGTTTCTGTGCATTGTATCTGGTGAAGAATGATCGCCTCATGGTCCTGACAAAGTGTTGTTATTTTTCGGGTCGTTCAGAAATCCAATATGGCCACCACGGCTGCCATTTTGAAAAACTATTTCAAACTTAAAGTCAAGTTCTGCTGGACCAATTGAACTTAAAGTTTGTAGGAATGATCGACTCATGGACCTGACAAAGAGTTGTTATTTTTAGAGTCGATCAGAAATCCAATATGGCCGCCACGGCCGCCATTTTGAAAACCTATTTCAAACTTAAAGTCAAGTTCTGCTGGACCAATTGAACTTAAAGTTTGTAGGAATGATCGACTCATGGACCTGACAAAGAGTTGTTATTTTTCGGGTCGATCAGAAATCCAATATGGCCGCCACGGCCGCCATTTTGAAAACCTATTTCAAACTTAAAGTAAAGTTCTACTTGGCCGCTTGAACTGAAACTTTGTAGGAATGATCGTATCATGGTCCTGACAAAGTGTTGTTATTTTTCTGATCGATCAGAAATCCAATATGGCCACCACGGCTGCCATTTTGAAAAACTATTTCAAACTTAAAGTCAAGTTCTGCTGGACCAATTGAACTTAAAGTTTGTAGGAATGATCGACTCATGGCCCTGACAAAGTGTTGTTATTTTTCGGGTCGTTCAGAAATCCAATATGGCCACCACGGCTGCCATTTTGAAAAACTATTTCAAACTTAAAGTAAAGTTCTACTTGGCCGCTTGAACTGAAACTTTGTAGGAATGATCGTATCATGGTCCTGACAAAGTGTTGTTATTTTTCGGGTCGATCAGAAATCCAATATGGCCGCCACCGCCGCCATTTTGAAAAACCTATTTCAAACTTAAAGTCAAGTTCTGCTGGGCCGATTGAACTGAAACTTTGTAGGAATGATCGTATCATGGTCCTGACAAAGTGTTGTTATTTTTCGGGTCGTTCAGAAATCCAATATGGCCGCCACGGCCGCCATTTTGAAAAACTATTTCAAACTTAAAGTCAAGTTCTGCTGGGCCGATTGAACTGAAACTTTGTAGGAATGATCGTATCATGGTCCTGGCAAAGTGTTGTTATTTTTCGGATCGATCAGAAATCCAATATGGCCGCCACGGCCGCCATTTTGAAAAACCTATTTCAAACTTAAAGTCAAGTTCTGCTGGACCAATTGAACTTAAAGTTTGTAGGAATGATCGACTCATGGACCTGACAAAGAGTTGTTATTTTTCGGGTCGTTCAGAAATCCAATATGGCCACCACGGCTGCCATTTTGAAAAACTATTTCAAACTTAAGGTAAAGTTCTACTTGGCCGCTTGAACTGAAACTTTGTAGGAATGATCGTATCATGGTCCTGGCAAAGTGTTGTTATTTTTCTGATCGATCAGAAATCCAATATGGCCGCCACCGCCGCCATTTTGAAAAACTATTTCAAACTTAAAGTCAAGTTCTGCTGGACCAATTGAACTTAAAGTTTGTAGGAATGATCGACTCATGGACCTGACAAAGAGTTGTTATTTTTCGGGTCGTTCAGAAATCCAATATGGCCACCACGGCTGCCATTTTGAAAAACTATTTCAAACTTAAAGTCAAGTTCTGCTGGACCAATTGAACTTAAAGTTTGTAGGAATGATCGACTCATGGACCTGACAAAGAGTTGTTATTTTTAGAGTCGATCAGAAATCCAATATGGCCGCCACGGCCGCCATTTTGAAAACCTATTTCAAACTTAAAGTCAAGTTCTGCTGGACCAATTGAACTTAAAGTTTGTAGGAATGATCGACTCATGGACCTGACAAAGAGTTGTTATTTTTCGGGTCGTTCAGAAATCCAATATGGCCGCCACGGCCGCCATTTTGAAAACCTATTTCAAACTTAAAGTAAAGTTCTACTTGGCCGCTTGAACTGAAACTTTGTAGGAATGATCGTATCATGGTCCTGGCAAAGTGTTGTTATTTTTCTGATCGATCAGAAATCCAATATGGCCGCCACCGCCGCCATTTTGAAAAACCTATTTCAAACTTAAAGTCAAGTTCTGCTGGACCAATTGAACTTAAAGTTTGTAGGAATGATCGACTCATGGACCTGACAAAGAGTTGTTATTTTTCGGGTCGTTCAGAAATCCAATATGGCCACCACGGCTGCCATTTTGAAAAACTATTTCAAACTTAAAGTCAAGTTCTGCTGGACCAATTGAACTTAAAGTTTGTAGGAATGATCGACTCATGGACCTGACAAAGAGTTGTTATTTTTCGGGTCGTTCAGAAATCCAATATGGCCGCCACGGCCGCCATTTTGAAAAACCTATTTCAAACTTAAAGTAAAGTTCTACTTGGCCGCTTGAACTGAAACTTTGTAGGAATGATCGTATCATGGTCCTGACAAAGTGTTGTTATTTTTCGGGTCGATCAGAAATCCAATATGGCCACCACGGCTGCCATTTTGAAAAACTATTTCAAACTTAAAGTCAAGTTCTGCTGGACCAATTGAACTTAAAGTTTGTAGGAATGATCGACTCATGGCCCTGACAAAGTGTTGTTATTTTTCGGGTCGTTCAGAAATCCAATATGGCCGCCACCGCCGCCATTTTGAAAAACCTATTTCAAACTTAAAGTAAAGTTCTACTTGGCCGCTTGAACTGAAACTTTGTAGGAATGATCGTATCATGGTCCTGGCAAAGTGTTGTTATTTTTCGGGTCGTTCAGAAATCCAATATGGCCGCCACGGCCGCCATTTTGAAAAACTATTTCAAACTTAAAGTCAAGTTCTGCTGGACCAATTGAACTTAAAGTTTGTAGGAATGATCGACTCATGGACCTGACAAAGAGTTGTTATTTTTCGGGTCGTTCAGAAATCCAATATGGCCGCCACCGCCGCCATTTTGAAAAACCTATTTCAAACTTAAAGTCAAGTTCTGCTGGACCAATTGAACTTAAAGTTTGTAGGAATGATCGACTCATGGCCCTGACAAAGTGTTGTTATTTTTCGGATCGATCAGAAATCCAATATGGCCGCCACCGCCGCCATTTTGAAAAACTATTTCAAACTTAAAGTCAAGTTCTGCTGGACCAATTGAACTTAAAGTTTGTAGGAATGATCGCCTCATGGTCCTGACAAAGTTAAGTTAACATTATACTATTTTTTACTCAAATTCGTACATATTTCAACAACAAAAATAAATACTGTAGACTCAGGTGACCATTTAGGCCCATGGGCCTCTTGTTCTATGTTGTACTCTGTATTCTGGTTCCTATATTGTACCTTGTGTGCCAGTTTCTGTACATTGTACCTTGTGTAGTACCAGTTTCTGTAAATTGTACCTTGTGTAGTACCAGTTTTTGTACATTGTACCTCGTGTAGTACCAGTTTCTATACACTGTACCTTGTGTACCAGTTTCTATACACTGTACCTTGTGTACCAGTTTCTATACACTACCTTGTGTACCAGTTTCTGTACATTGTACCTTGTGTACCAGTTTCTGTACATTGTACCTTGTGTAGTACCAGTTACTGTACATTGTACCTCGTGTAGTACCAGTTTCTGTACATTGTACCTTGTGTAGCACCAGTTTCTGTGCATTGTATCTGGTGAACCAGTTTCTGTGCATTGTACCTTGTGTACCAGTTTCTGTACATTGTAACTTGTGTACCAGTTTCTGTACATTGTACCTTGTGTAGCACCAGTTTCTGTGCATTGTATCTGGTGAACCAGTTTCTGTGCATTGTACCATGTGTACCAGTTTCTGTACATTGTAACTTGTTTACCAGTTTCTGTACATTGTACCTTGGTACATTGTACCTCGTTAACCAGTTTCTGTGCATTGTACCTTGTGTAGTACCAGTTTCTGTACATTGTACCTCGTTAACCAGTTTCTGTACATTGTAACTTGTGTTCCAGTTTCTGTACATTGTACCTTGTGAACCAGTTTCTGTACATTGTTACTTGTGTACCAGTTTCTGTACATTGTAACTTGTGTACCAGTTTCTGTACATTGTACCTTGTGTACCAGTTTCTGTACATTGTACCTCGTTAACCAGTTTCTGTGCATTGTACCTTGTGTAGTACCAGTTTCTGTACATTGTTACTTGTGTACCAGTTTCTGTACATTGTAACTTGTGTTCCAGTTTCTGTACATTGTACCTTGTGAACCAGTTTCTGTACATTGTTACTTGTGTACCAGTTTCTGTACATTGTAACTTGTGTACCAGTTTCTGTACATTGTACCTTGTGTACCAGTTTCTGTACATTGTACCTTGTGAACCAGTTTCTGTACATTGTTACTTGTGTACCAGTTTCTGTACATTGTAACTTGTGTACCAGTTTCTGTACATTGTACCTTGTGTACCAGTTTCTGTACATTGTACCTTGTGAACCAGTTTCTGTACATTGTTACTTGTGTACCAGTTTCTGTACATTGTAACTTGTGTACCAGTTTCTGTACATTGTACCTTGTGTACCAGTTTCTGTACATTGTACCTTGTGAACCAGTTTCTGTACATTGTTACTTGTGTACCAGTTTCTGTACATTGTAACTTGTGTACCAGTTTCTGTACATTGTACCTTGTGTACCAGTTTCTGTACATTGTACCTTGTGAACCAGTTTCTGTACATTGTTACTTGTGTACCAGTTTCTGTACATTGTAACTTGTGTACCAGTTTCTGTACATTGTACCTTGTGTACCAGTTTCTGTACATTGTACCTTGTGAACCAGTTTCTGTACATTGTTACTTGTGTACCAGTTTCTGTACATTGTAACTTGTGTACCAGTTTCTGTACATTGTACCTTGTGTACCAGTTTCTGTACATTGTACCTTGTGTACCAGTTTCTGTACATTGTACCTCGTTAACCAGTTTCTGTGCATTGTACCTTGTGTAGTACCAGTTTCTGTACATTGTTACTTGTGTACCAGTTTCTGTACATTGTAACTTGTGTTCCAGTTTCTGTACATTGTACCTTGTGAACCAGTTTCTGTACATTGTTACTTGTGTACCAGTTTCTGTACATTGTAACTTGTGTACCAGTTTCTGTACATTGTACCTTGTGTACCAGTTTCTGTACATTGTACCTTGTGAACCAGTTTCTGTACATTGTTACTTGTGTACCAGTTTCTGTACATTGTAACTTGTGTACCAGTTTCTGTACATTGTACCTTGTGTACCAGTTTCTGTACATTGTACCTTGTGAACCAGTTTCTGTACATTGTTACTTGTGTACCAGTTTCTGTACATTGTAACTTGTGTACCAGTTTCTGTACATTGTACCTTGTGTACCAGTTTCTGTACATTGTACCTTGTGAACCAGTTTCTGTACATTGTTACTTGTGTACCAGTTTCTGTACATTGTAACTTGTGTACCAGTTTCTGTACATTGTACCTTGTGTACCAGTTTCTGTACATTGTACCTTGTGAACCAGTTTCTGTACATTGTTACTTGTGTACCAGTTTCTGTACATTGTAACTTGTGTACCAGTTTCTGTACATTGTACCTTGTGTACCAGTTTCTGTACATTGTACCTTGTGAACCAGTTTCTGTACATTGTTACTTGTGTACCAGTTTCTGTACATTGTAACTTGTGTACCAGTTTCTGTACATTGTACCTTGTGTACCAGTTTCTGTACATTGTACCTTGTGAACCAGTTTCTGTACATTGTTACTTGTGTACCAGTTTCTGTACATTGTAACTTGTGTACCAGTTTCTGTACATTGTACCTTGTGAACCAGTTTCTGTACATTGTACCTTGTGTACCAGTTTCTGTACATTGTAACTTGTGTACCAGTTTCTGTACATTGTACCTTGTGAACCAGTTTCTGTACATTGTTACTTGTGTACCAGTTTCTGTACATTGTAACTTGTGTACCAGTTTCTGTACATTGTACCTTGTGTACCAGTTTCTGTACATTGTACCTTGTGTACCAGTTTCTGTACATTGTACCTCGTTAACCAGTTTCTGTGCATTGTACCTTGTGTAGTACCAGTTTCTGTACATTGTTACTTGTGTACCAGTTTCTGTACATTGTAACTTGTGTTCCAGTTTCTGTACATTGTACCTTGTGAACCAGTTTCTGTACATTGTTACTTGTGTACCAGTTTCTGTACATTGTAACTTGTGTACCAGTTTCTGTACATTGTACCTTGTGTACCAGTTTCTGTACATTGTACCTTGTGAACCAGTTTCTGTACATTGTTACTTGTGTACCAGTTTCTGTACATTGTAACTTGTGTACCAGTTTCTGTACATTGTACCTTGTGTACCAGTTTCTGTACATTGTACCTTGTGAACCAGTTTCTGTACATTGTTACTTGTGTACCAGTTTCTGTACATTGTAACTTGTGTACCAGTTTCTGTACATTGTACCTTGTGTACCAGTTTCTGTACATTGTACCTTGTGAACCAGTTTCTGTACATTGTTACTTGTGTACCAGTATCTGTACATTGTTCATTGTATAACAGTTTCTCTATGTTGTACTCTGTATTCTGGTTCCTATATTGTACCTTGTGTGCCAGTCTCTGTACATTGTACCTTGTGCACCAGTTTTTGTACATTGTAACTTGTGTACCAGTTTTTGTACATTGTACCTTGTGTAGTACCAGTTTTTCTATGTTGAGCCTTGTATACCAGTTTCTGTATGTGGTACATGACAACAACCAAATTAATTTTCCAGTAAATGATATGTTTAAACGACTCATTGTGATATTCCTAATTGTTCAACATATTCCCTGGCTTGTTGAATACATGTCTGGGGCAGTGATTCCTAAATGTTTATGCATCCTGATTTTCATTTTAATCAGCTTTTATATTGAATCATTTTTATAAAATTTTACACAAAATATTTTCATTTAACAGGTACCATATGTGATATTTGATGAAATAAAAATGGCTCAGGATGTTTGTTTTTTTTATTTTATATATTTTATATAAGGTGGAGTAGATAGTCCACATGCCTTGCACCTAAATGGGTGGGGTTTGTTTCCCCCATTGGATGGGAAAAGATGTTTGGCTACCTGCCTGACCACGTGGGTTTTCTCTGGGTGCTCCAGTTTCCTCCCACATTAAGACCTTCTTTGTGCTTCCATCCGGGCCAACAAGAGTGATTAATATAACTTGTTGCATAATTGTTGGAAAATAAATAATACTGGCTTAATGGCTGGAGAGAACTTCCATGTTCCAATCACAGGCATTTGAGTATAACCAGTAGAAAATAAATATGATCAAAAAAGTGAAAGAGGGATTCTGGATTCTGATTGGCCTCTTTAAACTTGAACATAAGCCAGGTATCAAGCGTTCCCCGTGAGAGGTGCCAATGAAGTCACCTATTCCTTCACACTTCTTACACACTTATTTGCACTCCTTATTAGATCTTGATGTAACTGTGACTTTGGGAAATTATCACACATAAAAAGCATGATTTTGGGAAAATAGAGTGATTTTTGCATAGATTTTGGGAAAATAGTCAGCACAAAATACCTAGGCCCCAAATTCATCTTTAAAACAAGCCATGCAAATTGATATGTCTTACCTATGCCCCGCTTTGACCATCAATGTACATATCAGAGAAACTAACTTAAACGCAAAAACTTAATGTTGATGGAGATGCAGACAAAGTCGATGGACCATGAAAGGAAGTCCGCATCCAGCATCTGATGCATAGGTTGAGATGTACTACCTCAGATGCATCTATGGTCCAAGTTTGGTTGGTGTAGCACTTATACTTTCAGAGAAACTAACTTAACACAAAAACGTAATGTTGACGCCGTCGCCAGAAAAGCAACATGAAGTGGCGGCGACTGTTGTGACACACGTTTTGTTTATACTGAAGTTTGTCTGGAGGTGGGGACTATTGATGGATCACAGTACTTTGCCTGGTTGTATTGGCGGTCAGCTTTGTGTCGGACAAACATTCTTAGTGTCCCTGAATAGCAGGTGGTTGGTTCAAACCTTTTCATATATAGCACAACCTCTGTGATTCAGAATTCTGTATGTTATAGGCTCATTCCTCTCCATAAAAAAAAACAATAAAAAACAATCAGTAATACTATATCTAATAGTACAAAAACAATGACACAAGTTTTACATTTCATCCTTTAATTCAATAATATACAGTAATCTACGTAACGATGCCTCAGGTAAAACACTTCCACTTAATTCATGCATGTTGATGCACAAATTTTTTCCCCTCTGCCACAACTTCAGTTTGTGTATGAGTTGCCTCCCCTGTGCTTTAGTCGTTTTCCACACAAAAAAATTATGTAGGGTTAGTAAATGTCTATATATTGAACAAATTCTAAATACATTTCGTCCATGTTTATTACCGATAGGGAGAACAGTCCTTTAATTTTTTAAGGTAATTTCTTGTTAGTGACTGTTTAACATTTTAAAATTACGATTTAATATGCCTGATATAAAAACTTACCATTCTTTCTATGGTAATGTGGAGATTTCAGAAATAAACTATACTTTACTTTAGGATGACAATATTGTAAGGGTTGTCTCCCTTGCTGTGATTTTACTTCAGTACTAGATATTGATTGCTTCCCTTGAGTGTGAGTTTACAGTTGACCTCAGAAAGTATGAATTGTGCAGGAACCAGTAAAAACCTGGCTTACTGTTCAATTAATTGACCCATGAAGTATTTTAAAAATAACTTTTCATTGGCGAAAGAATTACTTTATATTTTTAGTTGACCCTGCTAACACATACATCCAGTATACTTTAATACATGTACACATACATACAGTATACTTAAATACATGTATACATACATACAGTATACTCCTCACAAAATATACATATAGTAACAGTAGTAAAATTATTTGAGTCACGACACTTGGTAAACGATCCTGCACATACTTAGATCAAGGCTGACGTTGACTCAACCCCTTCAAGTAGAATGTTATGAGAAAAACGAACAAAATGACAAATTATTTGATTGTGAGGAGGATATACACAGCAACCATTCGTCATACGCTATAAAAAAACAAGAGGCCCAATGGCCTGCATCGCTCACCTAGTATTAATCTCACACTTGTAATCTTAAAAGTGGACTAAAATACAGCTACAGGCAGAATATCAGTGTTTGATTCATAAGAACCTATTAAAAGATTTAAACATATGACGCCTGTGACCTTGAATGTCGAACAAGGACATTAGGTTTAAAGTGGGTCAAGGTCATTCATTTGAACAAACTTGGTAGCCCTTCATACTAGCATGCTACAGGCCCAATATAAGTAACCTGAGCCTTTTGGTTATTGAGAAGAAGTCGTTTGAAGATTTTAAGATATTTGACCCCTGTGACCTTGAAAGTGGGTCAAGGTCATTCATTCGAACAAACTTGGTAGTTCTTTATCCCAGCATGCTACAGGCCCAATATCAGTACCCTGGGCCTCTTGGTTATTCAGAAGAAGTTGTTTTAAGTAAAAAGTTGACGCCGGACGGACGCCGGACGGATGACGGACGCCGGACGCCGGACGCCGCACCATGCCATAAGCTCACTTGAACCTTCGGGCCAGGTGAGCTAATGACAGCCAAATGGGAAAGAATGGGCTATTTGAAAATGATCACCCAAAATTTCAAGTCATATTTATCACCAGGTATACACAGATCCACACCTGAAGGACTACTACCGGTAGTGGCCAAATAACTTCGTCTTATGGCATTGATTCCAAAACATCCACTGACATGGCAGACAATCCAAGTTTGAGTGTGACAGGATAAATGACCTGTGCACTATACATGCTCAAAAGGTTGGAAACCCCTACTGAATGACCAACAGATGGAAGCACTACTACATGTATACCTTCTGCACATCTGTTGTGAGGGGATAACAATAAATATGAAGTGTTAGGTAGCTGGTAACAAATCTTTGATACAACCAAATAGAAAAATTTCAAAAATTGCCACTTTTAGGACCCCCTTCCAACTTCCAACCATGATGCATATGATGTTTTGATCAAAGATTGCTTCAAACATAACGTAAAAAAAAAGTTTGCCAATAGGATCAATGAATGCTGTGCCATGGCATTTAACAATGTCACAAACACTTTACAGCAATAACAATAAAGGTACAAATTGTAGATCAACTGGGGCACATCATTGCACATTTGAATCCCAATAGACCAAGCTTGCTGCCACGTTGATGTTCTTTATAAAGTACACCATAGGATGACCACACTGTCCGTCACCTCTTCACAGGCATCTTCACTTTTATTGGCTGAAAGACAAGATGAATGTATCCAAGTCTGAATCATCTGAGTGCTTGAAGGTAACACATGTTCAGATGTGTTTAACATAGAGCTTAAACAGGTTAAACACCCAGTACTATTTAGGTATGGAATCAATGTTATGGTTTGTACACATGATTTATTCAGGCTAGTAGATTTGAAAAACCACTAGGGCAACTGTTTTCTGGATTTTTTTCTGATTTCGGCTAGCTTACAAGTATTTCTAAATTATTATTACTTGATATGAGAAATAATACATGAAAATGAATACCCCAATACATCACTAAATTTACATCATTAGAGGTAAGTTGAAACCTGGCATTACCATACATATTTTATAGTCACAAAATGTTTATGTGTTTAACCCTGACTTTACTGACACACTGTCATAACCAACCATTGTATGTATTCCCTATTGATGTGACTGTAACACTCCATGTACAACCACTAAAGCTTACCTTACTACAATATGGACAGTCCCCAAATATGGTGTTGAAGCTTTGTCTACTGGATGGTAAGGCTCTCAGCCACTGAAACATTCAAAGTAACCTTGTACTATGTAAGCATAGACACTTGACATACACAACTATGAACTTGCTAGTGAGTACCATTACACTAATTCTACACAGAGTAACAGGCAATTTATTTTCCACACTATATTTGGCAAGGTGAGCCAAAAATAAACTAGGCCCAATGGGTCTGTATCATCTGTTATTTACCTCACATCTGTGAACTTAAAAGAGAATACAGACCAAGTGGGGGTGGTGGGGAGTTAAAAAGAAAATGGATTAATTAAGCATAATTAAGTTTTATGATAAATATCACCTCCCTGGGTCTTTTGGTTATTCAGAGGAAAATGTTTTTAAAATGTTTTTAAACATTTGACCCCAGTGACCTTGAAAGTGGATCAAAGTCATTCATTAGAACCCAGCATAATAACCAACCTTGGAATTTTGGTTATTTAGAAGAAATGGTTTGAACATTTTATTCAATATTTGACCCCTTGTGACCTTGAATGGGGGTCAAGGTCATCCATTTGAACTTTATAGCCCTTCATCCCAGCACACTAATGACTGAATATCATCATCCTAGGCCTATGGTTATTAAGAAGAATTCGTTCAAAGAAAAAAAGATGACATTGGAGGGATTGAGGCCACGCCACGACATAAGCTCATTTCGTCCTTTAGGCCAACATAGAAATCATCACAAAACCACCATACCATACAGGTTTTACCTCTATTTCCCCTATTCGGCCCCGCCCCTCTGCCCCCAGGGAGGCCACACCCATTGTTTATACAAAATTGTATCCCCTTGGCCCAAAGATGGTCCAGACTAAATTAGAATAAAGTCCTTTAATCCTACAATAGCGGAAGGATTTTAAAGGTTTTACCCCCATTTTCCCTATTCGGCCCCGCCCTTCTGCCCCCAGGGGTGCCACAATCACCGTTTATACAAAATTGAGTCCCCTTGGCACAAGGATGCTCCAGACTAAATTAGGATAAAATCCCTTAATCCCTACAGAAGAAGGATTTTATTAAAGGTTTTACCTCTATTTCCCCTATTTGGCCCCGCCCTTCTGCCGCCAGGTGGGCCACACCTATGGTTTATACAAAATTGTGTCTCCTTGGCCCAAGGATGCTCAAGACAAAATAAGGATAAAATCCCTAAATCCCTATGGTAGAGGAAGGATTTTAAAGGTTTTACCTTTCTTTCCCCTATTGGGCCCCGCCCCTATGCCCCCAGGGGGCCACACCCACGGTTTATACAAAATTGAGTCCCCTAAGCCCAAGGATGCTTCAGACCAAATTAGGACAACAGGCCCATGGGCCTTAACGGTCACCTGAGTCCTACAGTATTTATTTTTGTTGTTGAAATATGTACTAATTTGAGTGAAAAATAGTTAAGTATGATGTTAACTTAACTTTGTCAGGACCATGAGCTGATCATTCCTAGACCGATTTTCAGTGAGATCGGCCTATTAGAACTTGTTTTTAAGTTTGAAATAGGTATTTACAAAATAGCGGCCATGGCAGCCAAATTGTATTTCTGATTGACCCGAAAAATAACAACACTTTGTCAGGACCATGAGTCGATCATTCCTACAAAGTTTCAGTTCAATCGGCCTAGCAGAACTTGACTTTAAGTTTGAAATAGTTTTTCAAAATGGCGGCTGTGGCGGCCATATTAGATTTCTGATTGACCTGAAAAATAACAACACTTTGTCAGGACTATGAGCTGATCATTCCTACCAACTTTCAGTTCAATCGGCCTAGCAGAACTTGACTTTAAGTTTGAAATAGTTTTTCAAAATTGCGGCCGTGGCGGCCATATTGGATTTCTGATTGACCTGAAATATAACAACACTTTGTCAGGACCATGAGTAGATCAGAGTAGATCATTCCTACCAACTTTCAGTTCATTCGGCCCAGCAGAACTTGACTTTAAGTTTGAAATAGTTTTTCAAAATGGCGGTCGTGGCGGCCATATTGGAATTCTGATCGACCCGAAAAATAACAACACTTTGTCAGGACCATGAGGCGATCATTCCTACCAACTTTCAGTTCAATCGGCCTAGCAGAACTTGACTTTAAGTTTGAAATGTAAAATATTAACGGACGACGGACGACGGACGACGGACGACAGACGGACGAAAACGGATAGCAATAGGTCACTTGAGCTAAAACTCAGGTGACCTAACAAAATCCTTTAATCCTTACGGTAGAAGAAGGATTTTAAAGGTTTTACCTCTATTTCCCCTATTGGGCCCCGCCCCTCTGCCCCAGGGGGCCACACCCACCGTTTCTACAAAATTGAGTCCCCTTGGCCCAATGATGCTCCAGATCAAATTAGGATAAAATCCGTTAATCCCTATGGTAGAGGAAGGATTTTAAAGGTTTTACCTCTATTTCCCCTATTGGGCCCCGCCCCTCTGCCCCCAGGGGGCCACACCCACCGTTTCTACAAGAGTCCCCTTGGCCTAAGGATGCTCCAGACCAAATTGAGTCAAAATCTATTTTGCAGTTCAGGACTAGTAGCATTTTATAGGAAAAGTTGACAGACGGAGGGACGACGGCAAATGGATGACAGACGACAGACGCTGCGGTATGGCATAGGCTTACCATGGTCCTTCAGACCAGGTGAGCTAAAATTCATTATCAGTTCCAATGGGAATGATGCATTAGAGAAAAGTTTTCAGACAGGTTTTGGTGACTTACCTCGTAAAGACAAGTTTGGTGACTAACCTTGTAGAGACAGGTTTGGTGACTTACCTTGTAGAGACAGGTTTGGTGACTAACCTTGTAGAGACAGGTTTGGTGACTTACCTTGTAGAGACAGGTTTGGTGACTTACCTCGTAGAGACAGGTTTGGTGACTTACCTCGTAGAGACAGGTTTGGTGACTTACCTCGTAGAGACAGGTTTGGTGACTTACCTCGTCGAGACAGGTTTGGTGACTTACCTCGTAGAGACAGGTTTGGTGACTTACCTCGTAGAGACAGGTTTGGTGACTTAACTTGACAGATTTGGTGACTTACCTCATAGAGACAGGTTTGATGGAAGGGCTGTCCACAGCGAGCATCACTACACGCCTCGTTGGGAAGCTCTGTATCCAGTCTATAGGAATAACATATCCCACACTCAACACTGAACTCCTACAACACAATAAACACACTTTGAAAATCTCAAATGTACAAACATGTGTTTATGTGTCAGTCGACATATGTATATGTGTTGCAGGATAACAATCTGATTCATCCGGATTGTTTATAGTTTTGTTAAGGACCAGATACTGACCTCTTTGTTTGACGTGGCAGGAGAGGGTAACTCTGTTCCCAGCAGTGACTGTAGATTCTCCAACAAACCTTTCTGTTCGTCCCTACAGTATAATTAGAACCAACACAATTATTGATATTACTTCCGAGGCACCACCCCATTTAGAGAGAGAACAGAAAATAGTGCTTTTGGACTATGTTGCCAAAAAATTACAAGTATGCTATATTGTGATATAATATTTGTTTTAATTGTATTGCAATAAACATATAATCGTTTGTCAGTCAAGCATTGCATCCTAACTCTATGGATCAATTATCCTACTTACCACAGATGGAGATTTGAATTAAGACTTTCTCGCAGAGGAACAACAGCTAAAACGGAAAAAAGCAAGCATTTACAAGAGCAGTTAAGATGAATAAGACTATACCAGTACATAGCTAAGTCAAAGCCTGCATAGCAATCCAGGACAATCATCAATGAATGGTTTGAAAACATTAGCACAAAATCGGGGGCTAAGTTGAAAGCATTGTCCATCACTGCAATACAAACAGGAAAAGGTTGCTTTTGTTATTATTACTGAAAAATATGTATATATGGTTTATAATGTTTTCCAATAAAATGTTAATTAAAGAGAAATCCAATCTCACCATTATCAGCACCGAGAAATCTACACTCTGGTAACATTCTGGGGTGGCGGTGGTCAACGCTGATCTGTAGTGATGCATTAGTAGCTGGGGATATAAAACAATTCAACACCACGTCAATGGTTTACCGTATAGATTTGTAGTACATTATGTCAATGGTTTACCGTATAGATTTGTAGTACATTATGTCAATGGTTTACCGTATAGATTTGTAGTACATTACGTCAATGGTTTACCTTATAGATTTGTAGTACACCACATCAATGGTTTACCGTATAGATTTGTAGTACATTGTGTCAATGGTTTACCTTATAGATTTGTAGTACATTACATCAATGGTTTACCGTATAGATTTGTAGAACATTACGTCAATGGTTTACCTTATAGCTTTGTAGTACATTACATCAATGGTTTACCGTATAGATTTGTAGAACATTACGTCAATGGTTTACCTTATAGCTTTGTAGTACATTACATCAATGGTTTACCGTATAGATTTGTAGTACATTACGTCAATGGTTTACCGTAGAGGTTTGTAGTACATTACGTCAATGGTTTACCTTAGAGATTTGTAGTACATTACGTTAATGGTTTACCTTATAGATTTGTAGTACATGACGTCAATGGTTTACCGTATAGATTTGTAGTACATTGTGTCAAGGGTTTACCTTATAGATTTGTAGTACATTACATCAATGGTTTACCGTATAGATTTGTAGAACATTACGTCAATGGTTTACCTTATAGATTTGTAGTACATTAAGTCAATGGTTTAACTTATAGATTTGTAGTACATTACGTCAATGGTTTACCGGGTAGATTTGTAGTACATTACGTCAATGGTTTACCTTAGAGGGTTGTAGTACATTACCTCAATGGTTTACTGTATAGGTTTGTAGTACATTACGTCAATGGTTTACCTCATAGATTTGTAGTACATTACGTCAATGGTTTACCGGGTAGATTTGTAGTACATTACGTCAATGGTTTACCTTAGAGGTTTGTAGTACATTACCTCAATGGTTTACTGTATAGGTTTGTAGTACATTACGTCAATGGTTTACCTCATAGATTTGTAGTACATTACGTCAATGGTTTACATTATAGATTTGTAGTACATGACGTCAATGGTTTACCTTATAGAGTTATAGTACATTATGTCAATGGTTTACCTTATAGATTTGTAGTACATTACGTCAATGGTTTACCTTAGAGGTTTGTAGTACATTACGTTAATGGTTTACCTTATAGATTTGTAGTACATTACGTCAATGGTTTACCTTAGAGGTTTGTAGTACATTACGTCAATGGTTTACCTTATAGAGTTGTAGTACATTTGTGTCAAGTAGTTCACTATTTACTGACCAAAGAGATAGATCAGGGGACAAATATCAAGAAACTATGTAAAAAGTCCTGCAGGGTCTGTATCACTCAAGACTATCAACAATGTTAAAATTCTATTGTATTTAGTCAGTTAAAGTTATCTAGTATATAACATGGCAAGTGACTGTCTGTGATGTACGTTGAAAACTTATCGAAGATTATTTATTTGTTGACACCAAACACTTTTCTGGTCCACTGGATTTACCACTTTATAACTATAATCTGAAAAACTTGAGTTGGTATTCATATCATGTAATAAACAAAATAACCCAGAAACACACTATTATTCTGATTTGTAACATAAAGATATGTAATTAATACCTTTTAACTTGATGTAGTCTTTAATGTGTGATACTGAGATTTTATACAAAGATCATCTGTAATTATAGCACGTTACTCTCAATCACCACACCACCACCCTGTCCCCTAATGGTACACACCTGATACAAGGCAACTCTCCCCTATAACTCCAATGGCACATCCTAAATACATCAGATTATCAATGAATGACAGATGACCCCCTATACAGTGATCCTAACTATATCCTATCAACGAGTGACAGGTCCGCCCCTATGTACACATCCTCCATGCATCACTACTGTCACATACACTCTAAGAATTAACACTGTCAGCAAATATAACACATCTGTGTCCTCTGTATATTTTCATCTGCAGCCAAGTGCATTGTTTGTACTTATGACAGTACATATGTACTGACTTCATGAATAAATTGTAGAAAATATAGAATTATAAAAAAAAAATGAAACATATGTCTTAAGTCATTCAACTGGTATTTGGATTATTAGGGCTTTTCACCATGTGGTGAAAGGACCTATTGGAATTTTTATGTTTCTTTTTCTTATTATTCTTCTTCTTCTTCCGTACTTGGTGAAGTAACCTTTTTTTTAATTTTAATTTTTAATTTTTTTGGAACAAATCTTTACAGATCAATGCAGAATGTCATTCCAGTGAATTTGATGACTTTAGTTTTTCTGTAACATTTACCGTCAACATTGTACGCCATTTTGAATATTTCCGTTGATCTTTTAAAATGCCGACAATATGAAAAACTTGTTTTACTCCAATATCAATGACAAATATTTTGTTTAGTTTCCCCATTTATCCTCTAACATTTGGTAACATTTTCAACTTCATCGAAAAAACAAAATGGCCACCATGACGTAATATCCGATTTTAACTCTAATTGCAATACCTCATTAAAGGGTTAATTTATTTTATTCATCTTTGGATATCTTGTACTGAATAACAAATAAATAACTTTTTTCAGGAAACCTTTTTGAGTAAAATGTCATCTTCCGGTTTTTGGTAGGGGTCAAATTTTGAATGTGTAATTTTGTGAAACAAACTTCAAAAAACTTCTCAATAACCAAGTGACCCAAGGTCATGATATTTGTTGGATATCATGCTCAAGCAATGGACTATCAAGTTTGATAATATAAATGACCTTGACCCATGTTCAAGTTCACTGGGGTCAATTATGTTAAAATCTTCAAAAGACTCCTTCTCAATAACGGAAATGCCAAGGGTATTGATTTTTGGTCTATAGTATGCTTGGGGGATGGGCTACCAAGTGTATGCACAAGAATGACTATTAAAGGTCAACTTCCGGTTTTCGGTAGTGGTCAAAGTTTGAATGTGTAATTTTGTGAAACAAACTTCAAAAAACTTCTTCTCAATAACCAAGTGACCCAAGGTCATGATATTTGATGAATATCATGCTCAAGCGAAGGACTATCAAGTTTGATCATATGAATGACCTTGACCCATGTTCAAGGTCACTGGGGTCAATTATGTTAAAATCTTCAAAAGACTCCTTCTCAATAACGAAAATGCCAAGGTTATTGATTTTTGGTCTATAGTTTGCTGGGGAGATGGGCTACCAAGTGTATGCACAAGAATGACTATTAAATGTCAACTTCCGGTTTTCGGTAGTGGTCAAATTTTGATTGTGTAATTTTGTGAAACAAACTTCAAAAAACTTCTCAATAACCAAGTGATCCAAGGTCATGATATTTGTTGGATATCATGCTCAAGCAATGGACTATCAAGTTTGATAATATAAGTGACCTTGACCCATGTTCAAGTTCACTGGGGTCAATTATGTTAAAATCTTCAAAAGACTCCTTCTCAATAACAGAAATGCCAAGGGTATTGATTTTTGGTCTATAGTATGCTTGGGGGATGGGCTACTAAGTGTATGCACAAGAATGACTATTAAAGGTCAACTTCCGGTTTTCGGTAGTGGTCAAAGTTTGAATGTGTAATTTTGTGAAACAAACTTCAAAAAACTTCTTCTCAATAACCAAGTGGCCCAAGGTCATGATATTTGTTGGATATCATGGTCAAGCAATGGACTATCAAGTTTGATAATATAAATGACCTTGACCCATGTTCAAGTTCACTGGGGTCAATTATGTTAAAATCTTCAAAAAACTCCTTCTCAATAACGAAAATGCCAAGGTTATTGATTTTTGGTCTATAGTTTGCTGGGGAGATGGGCTACCATGTGTATGGACAAGAATGACTATCAGAGGTCAACTTTCGGTTTTTCGGTAGGGGTCAAAATTCAAATGCACTTTTTTTGATAAAAAAAACTTTGAAAAGCTTGTTCTGGGGTTGATTAAGGTCTCGAGTCTTATTATTTGATATGTAAGCTGCTGGGATGTTTAGCTATAAGGCCAACTTAGTCCTTACAGTGAAAAGTCCGTCAAATTGTTAGCCAACAATTTCTATTTTTTTTCTATATATTTCTTGTGTAAATTTCAACTTGACAAAACTAAAATTGTTCACAGAAACCTACTCTAGAGTGTGCCAAGGTCAAGCCAAACTTTAGAGGATTTACATAAAGATATATTTCTATTAATATATACGAGAAAAATAAGAGAAAATGATACAGAATGAAAACTTTGTACGAGAACATTCTTTGTACAGGTGACTTGACTCCTGGGCTCCTCAACCCTGGCAGCTAACAACTTAAATTGTATGCATGTTCTGAAGAAATAAAAGAATCTAAGACCACAAGAAAAAAATTACAGCTATTTCTACCCTCCTTGTTGAATCATCAACACCATGACCTTAGTACTTTAAAATCATATGTGAACTCTGAAATCTGTTCCTTGTAATTGTGGTCTTGACCCTGCATCTAAAAACACATACCGGGTAACTACTGAGAGGTAAAGCTGAAGTTCTTACTTGGTAATTGTAAGTCCAAGCAAGGAAAATCAAAGCTTAACTTTTATCCCTGCAGTTTGTTGTTTAATCTGAATACATGTATTCACATATTATAAAGGTCTATTATATTATGGAGATATTTACCAAACTCTAGAAAAGTCTAGTTAAATCATAGACAAATGCAACAAGTCTCTGATCAAAACATTTCATCACTGTGTCATGAGAGCATAGATATGCGTATACGATATGGGATACTCACATACTGCTATTCTCCTGTAGGTGGCACTGTACACAGGTTTCTCTGGTTCTAGGATCCATGTGTTCTTATCTAATTCTTCCATGACATCTATAAAGTCCTGGTACATGTCCACAGCCAGCTCAAACTGCTGGTACAGCCACTCCAGACTGCTCTGTGGAGGACAGTGTCACTTAAAATGGCATCAATCTCCAGCAATAGACACATAATATAACATGGTAATGGTACTGAACCTGTGCGAAGAAATTTTGAATGTCCAGTTTAGACAGGTTTCACTGTAATTTAAGTAGCACAGGAACTTGAATTTTCACCTTTCTTGCCTTTTGCAATGAGGGCAAATTTAACATAAAAACGAATATAAGTAACAGCATACACCATATAGTTGTTACATTTTAAGGGCGAAATTAACACTGGACGAACATGGATTTTACCAGTAAAGGGAGAAATTAACACTGGACGAACATGGATTTTACCAGTAAAGGGAGAGTATTTGACCGGGCGAAAGTTTCGCAGTACACAGTTGTCTCTAAATAAAATGGCCTAGGTGTTTACTAAACATGTTTACAGCAGAATGTAAAACATTACAAACTTATCATGATAAACAGCTTTTACTTACTGTAGACTTCCACTGCACCTGAAACTGGCCAGGCAGGTCAACTACACACTTTGGGGCGAGGCGTGGATGCTGCCAATCAAAAGCACACATTGAACTCGCATTGACCTTCAGATTCACTTCTACATTACTGCCCTAATTTATCTATTATCAACACAGAATTAGTATCCTACTGCATTCAGATCTATTTATCTTATGAATGAAGGCATCAACTGTGTATCGGGAGTACCAGAGACCCAACATAATATGTCCACCAATATTTCTGACCCATGAAATAACATGTAAATCAATGTTAGCAATTCTCTTAACTTGAAATAAAATTTATAAGATATTTGAACTTTGACCTCAACTTGTGACTTTGTCCATGGAGTCAGAATGTGGAAAATATGCAATGGCACTTTGTATAGTGTACGAAGTAAGAAATTATTTTTTTCATTTACTTATTTCTTATAAGAAATATATAAGATATTTGGCTCAAAATAGGTAACCTGATTTGAACTCTGACCTCTGTGTTACCATAACATTAGGGGTCTAGATACTGCCTCCAGCACACCATCTAGTGATGCAATGATTTTTTTATGAAATGTTTGACTTCAATTTGACCTTGTCCTTAATTTGTGAATTTGACCTTCATTAATGCAGATTAGGAAAAAAATATACTGTAAAGCACAATAGCTAAATAATCATAATCTGGAAAAGTAAAAAGTAATCTGGACTTTATCTCAACTTGTGACTTTATCCTTCACATGATGATAATACCACCATGAAACACTGCCTAATGCAGATCCATAAAATTGTTTTTCATTATGGTGGTATTCCATATGTCTGATTCAAGTTTTAATAAAAATACATTCAATCCTTTAAGAATTTATGATCTGACTTTGCTTTTGACCTCAACTTGTGACCTTGACCTAAGAGTGAGGCTTTTAAATAATCTCCCATTGCACACATCTCCCCTAGTAGTGATGAATCCTTGCATTATCATGGATGTTTTCTCAGCATCATGTAAGATTAATAGAAAATTTCCCTACTTTGGGGATAAGAACGAAAAATATCCACCCAATGGGTTACCGTTAAATTATTAAGGCAGTTAAGGCAGTTAAGAATCTTACCCCAAGGGTGGAGATTTTTCTGTCTTACTTGAAAGTGGAGAATGATCATGTTTCTCCCACCGGAGCGGTTGAAAGAAACACAAGTGTAGATTGCATGGGATCCAGAAAAACCCAATGTGGCACTAGTGCTCAAAGGTTACTGGTAGAATTTATTATACTTACTTGTGGACTTAAAGTGACCTTCAGAATGTGTTGTCTCCCCTTTTTATCTTTACATTGAAGCTCAAGTGTTTGAAACTTGGAATCAATAGACACCAACCTGCAAAAAGCATATCAATCAGTATCTAATTAGACAACAGGGGTGAAAACCTTAAAGTTGTCATTTATACCATTTTATGAGAAGGTTTACTATTTTTAGGTAACAGCTATTCATGCAAAGTACAGACTTCATCACGACAGGTATCACAGTTGATCTATACAATGACACAATACATCTTTACAACAATCCTTCAACTGACAAACAAGAGAACCACATGCTTTCGTCACAGTTACACATGTTTCTTTCAAACAAATTTTAATCTGATGACCTTGAACATCTGACAAGGTCACTATTAAGAACAAACTTGAGAGTCCTCTATCAGAGCAAACGACAAGAAAAGCATCAGACTCTGGGTCGTGTGGTTCTGAAGATAACATAAGACAATTTTAATACATTTCACCCAAGTGATATTGAAATAGGATCAAGTTCGATAATTTGGACAAAATTGTTAGCCATCCATCAAAGCATCTACCACCTCCTCTATGACTTACCTGTCCCATCCCAGCTTCTCCATCTCCCCTATTACTTACCTGTCCCATCCCAGCTTCTCCACCTCCCCTATGCCTTACCTGTCCCATCCCAGCTTCTCCACCTCCCCTAGGAGTTGTGCACACACCTGGCTGTTTCCTCCCTGCTTGACCAAGTGCCTTCCTTCTAACTGTCTTTCCTGTAGTATTTATCACATATGAAACTGTATACCAGTTTACTAATTTTCTACTTTGTATTATGAATACAATTTCAGTAAATGAACATGCAAAGTTGATTAAAATTGTCTTGTCATGAGAAACAAACCACTTAAATGCTATAAGGAAATCTCCCATTTAAAGTCATGGTGCAAACAAGTTTAACAATGTCAAATATCTGACACTTGTCTGAATGAAGTGTCATTAGTGTAACACATGGACAGATGGATGGAGGAACAAAAGCACAAAGTGATAGCTGTAGAACATCCCATCCCTTTTCCTTAGTTGGGTGGGAAGAGATGGGGGAGGATGTTAAACAAGCCATTCAGCCTGTGCTTCACTTTAACCATCAATGCATATGTCAAGTTTGGTTGGTGTAGCAATTATAGTTTCAGAAAAACCAACTTAAACGCAAAAACTTAATGTTGATGGAGATGCTGACAAAGTCAATGGACCATGAAGGTAGGCTGCATCCAGCATTTGATGCATGAGTTGAGATGTACTACTTAAGAAGTGTCTATGGTGCAAGTTTGGTTGGTGTAGCACTTAAACGTTCAGTGAAACTAACCTAAATGCAAAAACTTAATGTTGATGCTGCAGTAGCCGGAAAAGCAACACATTAGTCTCACTTCCGCTTCTTCGTGGCAGCGAGACAAAAAAAACATCAAGAACTAGGTCCAGGTGCAACATCATAACAGTTTAGCCCAGTTGAATAAAGTGCTATACACTATCACATCAGAATAAACATAAATGTGCTATCCCTATGGTTTGCCAAACTTAAGCTGGTTATCAACTCAATTATCAAGAAGCTCACTTTAATTTGCAAAGACAGTCTTACATATTTTCAAGTTGAATTTTGTATTGTTCTGTAAATGCACCTGGTGGGCAGCAATTACTGGACATTTCCTTACAATTGGATACTGAGTTTACCAAATATCATTAACAATTTTAATTAAAGAGGAAAGTGTTCTAATTCTTCTAAGGTGACCATTTTGGATATTATGATCAACTTATCTTCTCATTTCTTCAAAACACATATTGTGTATGTTGATGAGAAAAGTGATCTTTAAATTCTTTTTTTCAAGAAAGAGCATATGTCTAAGATCAAAGGTTTACTTTATACACAAACAATGTACATATTAAACGTGTCGCAATGTTTCAAGACCCAGACCGACTGGTCCCTTTGTCAAGCTACAATTTCTTGTATGACAAAGGGACCAGTCGGTCTGGAAACGTGACACGTGGCTCCACACATCGTCATCAGACTCCATTTTCGTGACATAATTTCTGAAAAGTACAGCTCAGATTCAATTATCTCCAACGAAATGTGCATTTACACTGTGTCGTCATTTTCGTATTGCGTATCGGGCAATTCAATATCGTAGTGTAAAATAAAATATTTACATTTGCATGGCATTGTCACTAATATAGCCTCTTTGAAAGCTGTGTCGTTGATGGGACTTTAATTAACATGCATCACGAGACACAATTCTTAGCGTATTAATACAACACTGACCGGAACTACAATATCCAATATAAATAAACATGACAGCTGCTGAAATATCGCTGGGCATTGTGATTGACGAAAACTGAATTTTTTGGTAGTTTTTCCTTAAAAGTCCCCAAGATTTCGGAATGCTTAGATTTTCATAAAATCAACTATATATAGAAGCATAACCATTATATGAAAGTTTCAACGAATTTTGCTTGTTAATTTCGAAAGTGTTGAGCCTCCTTAATATGTACATTTGGTATGAAGTAACACATGATATTTCATATTTCCAAAATAAATGTATTTAGTATAGTAACGGTATACTGTAATGTATGTAGTACTGGTGTACTAGTGTCTGGATATGAGACCAAGGTGACACAGGTAGCCGCGGGAGGCGGGACAGGCACGTGTTACAGGTGCGACACGGGTGTCTATAGAGTAATAAAGGTAGTTTGAGGGTAACATAGTCATTGGAGTCTTGACGGTTCATCGATACACTTCAAGAAATTATATTTCCTTTTGTTAAATCATAGAATTATGAAATTTCCCTGTTTTCCTTGAGACAGGCACGAACTTAGGAACATAGGTGTTGAGTTTTATAGGATAAATGCTTTATGTTCGGTTGAACGTAGTGAATTAGAATCATTATGGATCTTATAGAAGTACCTGGTATATATCTTTAATGATCCTAAGAAGTGTTGCTACATTTCAATTGTAATGGATAGCTGACATTTGTGGAATACTTCTGATGAACAGTGATTTTGGGACGACGGACGGACGGACGCCGCACGCCGCACCACGGCATAAGCTCACTTGGACCTTCGGGCCAGGTGAGCTAATAAGACATATACTTCACCTGAACAGAATCTGAACACGTAAATTAGATCTGAAAGTTTGAAGAACATGTAATACTTATTTGTGCAGTAGATTCATGTTCATGTCAGTAAATTAATTATACACTTCCTTGCTGCTATTTTGGTTATGTAGGCCACATATCACAGACTGTTTCTAAGGGAATTTAAAGATCACGCGACAACAAACAGTGGAACGTGTGATAAGGTTGGATTGTGTGACAACCTCAGTGTACCAGCCTGACCATAGGTCCTCTCCAACAGGACTGGCTCATTGACTATGTCAACAAACCAGCATCCTTCAATAAACACACCCGCTCCCCAGGTAACCCTGACGTGACTGAGCTATGATTAAACACTAACACACCCACACCATTGCGGAAGTCAGTGGCAGTATCACCTGGCCCTAGTTGTTTAATGTTCGATTATCTTAATGACTAAGCGCACAAGTTCAACTCAAACATTGCATGCAAGAAATGTTCAATAATGTTTTTATTTCCTAATTGACCTGTAGAACGATTACACTAATACTTATCTGTAGGAAAGAAACACAAGAAAACTGATATATTTATCAATCAAGCAACAAAGATTTGTTTTATTACTCATTAAACAAACAGGAATTTGAACTAATTGACCAGACACACTTGTATTGTACACAGGTTAATATATCAATACATACTTTATATTGACATCACTAGGAGTTTCTTGACTCGGTCATGTTTAATGTTTGATCCCTAGATAACAAACTGATAGCTATAAGTTTCCAGTACAGATAGTACTGCCACAGTGTTAAAGATTAACCAAGGTATAGTGACAGGTATTTCAACTACAGTTCAGCCTTGCTATCTCAAAAACAAGAGGTCCATTGGACCTGTATCGCTCACCTGGTTTTATATTTAAGTCATTACAACTGAATGCATAAGTACATCTTTATATGAAATTTCCTCAAAACCAGCCAAGATCTATGTTTTAACCCAACTGGGACCACAATATCTGACTTTCAACTAATCAGGGGCCTCCATTGAGTTGCCATGTTAACAGATTTTGAAATAAGTAATATGTCATATTACAGGGTGTAATTAGTTAATACTTTAATTTTCATTCAACTTTAAGCTTTTATAAACCTAGAAACCAATTTTTAACAATTTATAAAAACTACACCATAGAATATGATAATCTAGCTGTACCATTTCTTAGGATCGCAGGGGTCAAATCAACCTCATTCAATTAAGAAATGTTTGCAGGCAATTAGGGGATATTAGCGTCTTAAAGCAAAATATTAGATAATTTTCCTCTTTGGGGCCCGTTCTTCCTAGCTTCAGGGGTCAAACCAACCTCATTTATTAAAGAAATGATTGCCAATCCCTACTGATACTTCAGACTAAATTTTGTTGAAATCCTCTTTGGCGTTTAGGAGGAGATGCTTTTTAAAGCAAATATAGCTAAGTTCCCCTTCAGGGCCCCGACCCCTGGCCTCAGAGTTCAAACCAACCTCATTTATTTAAGAAATGATTGCCCTCCCCTAGTGATGCTTCAGGCTGAATTTAGTTGAAATTCTCTCTGCCGTTTAGGTGAGCTAACAAGACCCAATGAGCCTGCATCTCTCACCTGTTAGCAAACACTTGTAACCTTCACAGTGAACTAAAAATAGCTACAGACAATATCAGTATCTATGACTATAAGTCATTCAAAAGGACTTTTTAAAACTTTTTAACATATTTGACCCCTGTGACCTTGCAAGTTTAACAAGGTCATCAAACTAATTAAACAAACTTTTTAGCCTGTCATCCAGGCACGCAACTAGTCAAATGTCCTCACCCTAGACTATTTTGTTTATTAAGATGAGGTAATAAAGTTCTATATACCATTGACCATGTGACCTTGAAAGCATGCTACTGGCCAAATATCACCACCCTATGCATTTTGGTTATTCAGAAGTGGGATGTCACATATGATCTTATTACATATGTTACATACAAACATTATGTCATAGAATTCTGACTCTACAGTGTCAGCAACTTATGTTACCATGATTTGAAATTGAAATTGAAATTGAATGACACTTACCACTAGACTTTTCACCTCCAGTAAGTACTGGCAAAGGGAGGTACACTGCCTCAGCCTCTGTAACATTTAAATAGGTATGTACTGCTTAAGCCTGTGGTACTTTGGAGAAGACAGGTACAAAAGTTTTATGTATATTTTATAGCTAAAGACTACATTGAAGTTGAATCATCAGTGTTATCAACCTTTATGCATGAAATGGATAAAGTGTGTCTGGTAATAAAAATTAACACGAAAGCATTCAATTCATCTGAAAACAAATCAAATGAAGTCAAATTGAGCTAGTTCTCAGGTATGCCTCCTATCCCATTTGTAAGCTGTGTTTACCATGCAGAATGTAAGGTGTTTTATTGTAGGAAACAACAGGTCAACAGTTGCAAAATTACCATACAATAATCTGAGTTTTGACCCCTTGTCATGACCATAACTATTCAATTTATGTACCCCAGAATGTTTTGCAACACTCTCTCTTGTGATTGTTCTAACATAGGTCAGACAAGCTTGAAAATGACCGGAAGTTTGACCCATCACCATGACCACTGGAGTACTTACATAGGTCAGACCAGCTAGAACTGACTCACCATGACCTTGACCAATGGAATACAGAGCTGAGAGTGTTACACTATACATCAGCTAGATCTGATACACACATCTATATAGCTTCTTGAAAAACATTTTTTTTATGAGATATTAATAAAAATGTATTATAAATGTATTTATGTAGAACTACACATCCAGTTACAGGGCCCTGACAGCAGTACTATACATCCAGTTACAGGGCCCTGATAGTAGTAATATACATCCAGTTACAGGGCCCTGACAGTAGTACAATACATCCAGTTACTGGGCCCTGACAGTAGTACTATACATCCAGTCACAGGGACCTGACAGTGCTATACATCTAGTTACATGGTCCTGACAGTAGTACTATACATCCAGTTACAGGGACCTGACAGTAGTACTATACATCCAGTTACATGGACCTGACAGTGCTATAAATCCAGTTACATGGCCCTGACAGTAGTACTATACATCCAGTTACAGGGACCTGACAGTAGTACTATACATCCAGTTACAGGGACCTGACAGGACTATAAATCCAGTTACAGGGCCCTGACAGTAGTACTATACATCCGGTTACAGGGCCCTGACAGTAGTACTATACATCCAGTTTCAGGGACCTGACAGTGGTATAAATCCAGTTACAGGGACAAGACAGTGCTATACATCCATTTACAGGGACCTGACATTGCTATAAATCCAGTTACAGGGCCCTGACAGAAGTACTATACATCCAGTTACAGGGACCTGACAGTGCTATAAAACCAGTTACAGGGACCTGACAGGGCTCTAAATCCAGTTAAAGGGCCCTGACAGTAGTACTATACATCCAGTTACAGGGACCTGACAGTGCTATAAATCCAGTTACATGGCCCTGACAGTAGTACTATACATCCAGTTACAGGGACCTCATGACAGTATTATAAAACCAGTAACAGGGACCTGACAGGGCTATAAATCCAGTTACAGGGACATGACAGTAGTAATATACATCCAGTTACAGGGACCTGACAGTAGGTTATACATCCAGTTACATGGACTTTACAGTAGGTTTTACATCCAGTTACAGGGACCTGACAGTGCTTTAAATCCAGTTACAGGGACATGACAGTAGGTTATACAGTTACAGGGACCTGATAGTGCTATAAATCCAGTTACAGGGACATGACAGTAGGTTATACAGTTACAGGGACCTGACAGTGCTATAAACCCAGTTACAGGGCCCTCACAGTAGGTTATACATCCGGTTACAGGGCCCTGACAGGAGGGTATACATCCAGTTACAGGGTCTTTACAGTTGGTTATACATCCAGTTACATGGACTTTACAGTAGGTTTTACATCCAGTTAAAGGGCCTTGACAGTAGGTTATACAGTTACAGGGACCTGACAGAGCTATAAATACAGTTACAGGGACATGACAGAAGTAATATACATCCAGTTACAGGTCCCTGACAGTAGGTTATGCATCCAGTTACAGGGCCCTGAAAGTAGGTTATACATCAAGTTACAGGGCCCTGACCGTAGGGTATACATCCAGTTACAGAGCCCTGACAGTAGGTTATACCTCCAGTTACAGGGCCCTGACAGTAGGTTATACATCCAGTTACAGGGCCTTGATAGTAGGTTATACATCCAGTTACAGGGACTTTACAGTAGGTTATACATCCAGTTTCAGGGCCCTGACAGTAGGTTATACATCCAGTTACAGGGACCTGACAGTAGTGATATTCATCCAGTTATCATGTCATAATATTATCCTAGTTTCATAAAAAAAATCTTAATAAAGGCAATCAGAAATCATGTGTGGAGAATTTTCGACATTTGAACCCTATGTTATGACTTTGACCTTTCATGTTCCAATCTAAGAGTGCTAAGCTACATGAAATCTAATCCTGACACAGCTGGCATTGATAGGCAATAGCAATGCAAATCGGCCAGAGACAAAGTCAATGAAGCTTGTTAGCAGTTCATGTTCAATTCAAGTCAGTTTATTACTATGCAAATATGTTCATAATTGTTTCATATTTCACAAGATTTTACCAACACTTTCACTACGACATAGGACATGCAGTGAATACAAATCCATTAAATTATAGCATACTGTCAGGTTACAGCTAGCACAGTTAATGGATTCATAATAGCTGGAGTGCCTTTTCCGGCAGTTCATTGCATCAAATACACAGTGTTTGCATTTGTCAAGTTGGCCGGCATTCATATTGCCTCTGAATGCCAATGGATCACTTTTGAAAAAAGCAAATTCGTGGAATTCATATCCCCCGCTTGTAGGACATATTGTAGGTTAACATTATTAAGGTTAGGTTTAAACATGTGAGTATCATGCTGTTGAGACATAATGTATAGCTTGAAACTTGAAGAAAAAGCCCTGTATCTCATTGATATCCGTAAATATGCACAAATCACATTGCTTGGCAAACTTGATCTTTTCTCTGAATTCTACAGAAATTCATGAGACATTTAAAACATAAATTGTATAGCATATAACATAGTATTGAATCATTTGTGTTATTCTGAAGCCTCTAATTACTTTGTTAGAGCCAAAATTGATTAAGATTTATTGATATTTTAAAGGATTTTAGGAAGGTTTACACGTGACATACGGTCCAGATAAAGCTATCAACATTTAAAAGTAAATAAATCACATAAAAGGCAAAAAATAAGAGTAATTAAAACTAGAAGAAATTCTAGAGGGATGTCCTTGTTAACCCAGGTTAGAAAAAAATATATCTCAAAACATTGGGAATATTTAATATTAATTTGTTGGGAAAAAAATAACCAATAACTACAATTTTTATATATCCAATTCTGAAGAAACTTGTTTTCTTCTATTTATGTTATTTTCATTAATACTCAATCCCATCCCGACGGCAAGAGAATGAATTCCGGATTCAATGTCAGTGTCCGGATTCGATTTAATAGTCACAGTGTAATAGGTACATCCTGCCTTCCCTTACTTCATAGGGGTTATACAGTACAGTATAGCAGTTCCACTGCCTTACAGAATCAATAAACAATCAAACACACTGTATCACAGTCCCAGCAACATGTTCCTTTTTTTTCAAGATACAAAATATTTATTCAAATTCAAAACCCAATGCCGGTTTATATCCAAATAGATAGCAACAGATTTGTACCTGTTTTAGGATGGCTGTGTATCCATGTAGTAGTTGCTGAAGTTTCCAGTCACAAGAAAACTGGAGCTCTTCAAGGGTTTTTCTCTCTGGTAATTCAATATGGATTCTATAGTCTTCATTCTGAAAATAATATATTCATGAACATCAAATAATGATATTATGTCAGAATCTGGACAGATGTTAGTTGATGTCAAGGTGACCTTAATATGGTGTAATGTTTGAAACATACATGCATATGAATAAGACACTGATATATAGGTTTCCAAATCCTTTGTTACATTTTTTTTGTGAAATATAGCAAGCTATTATGGAAAGTAAGCTAAAAAAGAATTGACAAAATTTCAATAAGTCTATTTGTTAGGTTTGTACTTACTAAATAAATGAATACCAAATATGATAAAATATTTTTCTTTCTTTGTCAGAAATGATGTAGTACTTAAACAGGATGTTTAGGTATAAGTGATAGAACCTGTCTCAAACTAACTACACTAAGGTAACATGAATAAACAATGTGTTCGATAGTCCTTATGATAACATTCCTGTGATAAAAGTTCCTACATTGATGTTGATGTAGCCAGTGTATATTGAAGCTTGTTTATTCACTGGAATGAGCTCTGGGAAGGTCGTCAGCATGTCCATGTGTTCTCCCTATATAGACTGCCCCACCACCTAATAAGACACAATATATATACAGGTTTTAATGCAGAGATTTAAATACAATCTAAAACACCCAAAGGGCGATTGGAATCTACTCTGACGTTCTAATAAAATAAAGTACAAGAGGACCAATGGGTCTGAATCGCTCACCTGGTATTAATCTCATACTTGTAATCTTAAAAGTGGACTATTAATGTACAGCTACAGGCAAAATATCTGTGTTCGATCCATTTGAATCTATTAAATGATTTAAACATACGATGCCTTTGACCTTGAAAGTTTATAGTCATTTAAAGATTTAAACATATTTGATCCCTGTGACCTTGAATATGAGCAAAGGTCATTCATTTGAACAAACTTGGTAGCCCTTCATCCCAGCATGTAACTGGCCAAATATCATGATCCAAGGCCTTTTGGTTATTGAGAAGTTGTTTCAAGGTTTTAAACATATTTGACCCCTGTGGCCTTGAAAATGGTTGAAGGTCGTTTGAACAAACTTCGTAGCCCTTTATCCCAGCATGTTACTGGCCAAATATTAATGTCCTAGGCTTCTTGGTTATTCAGAAGAAGTTGTTTAAAGGTTTTTAATATATTTGCCCATGACCTTGAATATAAGTCAAGGTCATTCATTTGAAAAAACTCTGTAGCCCTCTATTACAGCATGCTACTGGTCAAATAGCATCATCCTAGGCCTCTTGGTTATTGAAAAGAAGTTGTTTGAAGGTTTTAAACATATTTGACCCCTGTGACCTTGAACATAAGTAAAGGTCATTTGTTTGAACAAACTTGGTAGCCCTCTATTACAGCATGCCAGGGTTCGAATTTAAGCTCGCATACTCGCGAAAAGCGAGTGCAAATTGCAAACTGCGAGTAGAGATTTGCGACACCAGCATTTTTTTGCGAGTGAAAATTTTGGGCTGAATAATCCTCATTTCTAATGGTCGGTCTTTACAAATTCTTTCTTTGACAACTCGCGGTCATTAAAGCGCATTCTTGTCATTCGCTGAACGAATGATTCAGCTTTTGTCATTAACGGAAGTTTACAATCGATACATGTCCAGTGTGCATGTCCGTTAGGAAGTACCTGCACAAATAATGATGACGTTTACCGCATGCATGAAGTTTTTCGGTAATCTATTTTTAGTTACTATTTATAGCGCAAATACGATAGGCTTGATTAGTCACATGGTTGTATTGGGGTTTCCCAAGGTTAAATTTCACAGCTCGCTGCACCGGCAAAATAACAAATAGACAAGTCTTTTGCAGTATGGCATTGGTGATGTCAGGGTTATTTACAGGCATTATCAAACAGTTTTAACCAATGCTGACTGTAACTTGGTCAATGCACTTAGTCAATGGGCTGATCTGAAGTTTCATGTATCTGGCAATGCAAGATATAAAAACAAACATCCACTTTTAGTTTGGCAGTTATGTAGTCAAATGGACCAAGATAAAGGTAATTATAAAGACATACTTAAAATAATACATTTGACAAACATCTTGCCATTGGCCAATGCCTCATGTGAGAGAGCATTTTCCACAATGAAGAGAATAAAGTCTGACTGGAGGTGTAGGCTAGGAGCTGAAGTCCTAGACATTTTGATGCGAATCAAAGTTGCTGATGTTGCCCTTAGAGAGTATGACCCAAAACCTGCTGTGACAAGATGGTGGTTGTCGGGACAAAGACAGAAAAGACCAAATACTCTACCATATGGAGCAAGAAACTAAGATGCAGTTTCTATGCTATATCTTAGAACAGCCTGAGCAGGCCAGCATCCTTTCACAGCAAGGTTTGCGTCATGTATACATCCCAATGACCATAATTAAAAATGTCAGTTAATACTGTGTTGTTTTAGAATTTAATTCTAAGTTAACATGTCTAATAAAGTTGGAAAAATGCAAACTGCAAGTTGTTTTCTCATTTAGCAAGTAAGAAAAAATACCACTTGCGAAAAAATGCAAGTAGAAAATCTGGTTAAATTTGAACACTGCATGCTACTGGTCAAATAGCATCATCCTAGGCCTCTTGGTTATTGAAAAGAAGTTGTTTGAAGGTTTTAAACATATTTGACCCCTGTGACCTTGAATATAAGTAAAGGTCATTTGTTTGAACAAACTTGGTAGCCCTTTATCCCAGCATGTTACTGGCCAAATATCATTATCCTATGCTTCTTGGTTATTCAGAAGAAGTTGTTTAAAGGGTTTAAATATATTTGACTCCTGTGACCTTGAATAAAGGTCAAGGTCATTCATTTGAAAAAACTCAATAGCCCTCTATTACAGCATGCTACTGGTCAAATAGCATCATCTTAGGCCTCTTGGTTATCGAGAGGAAGTTGTTTAAAGGTTTTAAACATATTTGACCCCTGTGACCTTAAATATAGGTAAAGGTCATTCATTTGAACAAAACTTAGTAGCCCTTTACCCTAGCATGTTACTGGCTAAATATCATTATCCTAGGCCTCGAAGTTATTCAGGAGAAGTTGTTTAAAGATTTTTTAAGACAATTGACCCCTGTGACCTTGAAAATGGGTGAAGGTCATTTATTTGAACAAACTTGGTAGCCCTTAATCCCAGCATGCTACTGGCCATATATCATCACCCTGGACATTTGGTTATTCAGAAGATGTTGTTTAAAGTTTTTAACATATTTGACCCCTCTGACCTTGAAAATAGGTGAAGGTCATTTATTTGAACAAACTTGGTAGCCCTTTATCCCAGTTTGCTTCTGGCCAAATATCATCACCCTAGGCCTTTCGGTGATAGTTAAACGTTTCGTTTAAAGTAAAATATTGATGCCGGCCACCGGCCGGCCGGACGAACGAACGGACGGACGACGCACCACGGCATAAGCTCACTTGGCACTTCGTGCAAGATAAGACATGGATTAACTCTAGACCTAATTTATTTACAATTTCTCTATACTCATCAAAACTACATTAGACCCTTCTTAGCTACTCACCATATCTTAGATATGCAATCTAATTAAAATTATATCTTCACATCACTCCCGTTTACGGACATGATGTTGCTTCCACGCAACATATCAGTAAACAGGAACAATGTGAAAATATCATTTTAAATAGATTGTTAGATATGCAATGTATGACCTCAAAAATTTCTCATTTTATTTCATAAATATCATATTTACACCGCAATGACATTGTCAAATAATAGTGAAAGAAAGATAAAGATACCAAATATTGCAATGGTTGCAGCAGATTTATTTTGGTTGCTTTTGTGTCCCCAAATAGAGGACACCAAAGCAAATCCCCTATTCTGCAGGGGTACCCACATCAGTCGCCCTCTACGATACATCTTTTCCCGATCCCCCACCTGCAGGGGTGTCGTGATGGAAGAACTGACGGTTCCATGGGAGGACAGGATAGAGGAGGCACACGAGCAGAAGAGGACAAAGTACCAGCAACTTGCAGAGGACTACCAACAACGAGGTTGGAAGGTATGGAGGTTTCCCTGGCCAATCTCTAAAGAGGACTTTGAGGTTGCTGGGGATGCTAGGGACAGAGCGGAAGAAGCTGGTGGGTGCTGTGAGCAGACAGGCAGAGATGGCATCTAACTGGATATGGAAAAAGAGAGAAGACTCGTGGGGTGGACACCAACAACATTGCTAGTCACACAGTGCCACAACACAGAACTTCACAAGACTTGATGGATGATGCAGGAGGCTGCAGCAACAACATGGCAGCGAGCTGCAATTCCAACCAGCAGCAGCGAGAGCCGACCAATCCCTGGCTGGGTCTGATCAACTCAGCGCGTCTCTGGAGGATGTCGAAGATATTTAAAGCGTCAAAACGTCTAACAAAGGAGGACCGTCCACCCAATGATGGGACTGGCCAGCATTGGAATGATCCTATGTATTAAAGGTATTTCTGGTATCTAATCGATTTTAAGGTAGAGAAGGACACTAGAGGCAAAAAAAATCTAGTCAATGATTTTTTTTTAATTTCCCATATACCAGGTATTGTTCTTTGGGGTGTACCTAACAAAATATAAAAATTTGAGAATAGGTTTCCAGGCTATTTTTAAAAATATTCTTTGAAAGAGTTACCTCTCTTTGAAGTCTGAAAAATGTCATTTTTTTGCCCTTTTTAAGTCACTAAGTTACCCGCCAAAAAATGCATAAAAGGTGTTTTTTTAATTTATCAGAGAACAATATGATAAATGAATATTTTGAAATATTTTAGACATAATATTTTTAAAAAAGTAATGATTTTTCAAAATGATAACCCTTCTTTGCAATATGCCTGCAACTGGCTTAGGTAAAATTTCGCAAAAAAAAAAGATTGTAAAGTTGAATAGAAAAACATTGTGTCAATTAATTCTTTTTAAAATTGGTATATAAAATAACTTATATCCATACTACAAATCATAAAAAAATAAAGATATGTTTCCAGGGAAAACAAAAAGTTATACACCCTTTTATGCAGTTTCATGAAAAATGTCTAAATTTTTCACTCCTTTTTTTTATCTCTTTTAACTAAAGGTGCGATTGATTCTTAAATTTTCATTGGTTTTGCAGCAGCCATGTTTTTGTAGTATTATTTTATCCTTTCAGGTAACCTTCTTTAGGTTTAAAGGAGGTTGCATCTGTTTTGAATCACATTTCATCGGTTAATTATCCTTGATCAATATAGTCTCATCTTTCACAATAATCAGATATAAGACTTAGAAAGGATATATATCTTATTTCAATCAACAATAATTATTAAAAACAATATTTATTTGACCTTGGTTTTTGACCTCATGTTAAAAGGATTGTCCAACCAATTTATATATCATTACAGTGTATTGAGTGTTTGGTCATGTGATACCTGTCTGTCTCTTCCTTAAGGGTAATACCTTTAGTTGACGAAATAGCCCTTTTAAGAGACACTATCAATGATTCTATAACTGGTCAATCTACTGTCAATAATAATGGTCGGTCATGCAAATTTCACAAGTCAATTCCCAACCTTATTTTCAACATAAAATTATCAGTGGTAAAAATATGACAAAAAAAATCTTAATTACAATTTCGTGGGAGTTTTTCCAAGACATTCGTGACAGACAACATGATCATTGAAAAAAATAAGGCAGGATACACAGACTCAAGTAATGAGGACAGTTTTTACAGACAATTTAGATGAAAATATGTGGGGTTAGTGACAGAAAAAGAACTTCTTGAACTGAATAATGGAACTAAATTGACCTTCTTTCTTTCTTAGGACAAAGCAAATAACTTTATAGAAAGAATTGACCTTATCGTGAATCGGAAAATGATGCTAGACCACTGGCTTAAATTGCCTAGTAATGTAAACACTAAAGGGCACAGTCTTCAGTCAAAAGACAAGGTTATGTCGGCTGAGCAATCTGCATACAGGTTTTAATCAAGCGCACCTTTATTCTCTTTCTCAGGTATGCTTATTGGATCACATACAGTAATCTGTAGTCACCTTATCTTTTCTGTCGTTCATCTACTATCTATTGTCATAGACAGTGGTGTTTTTGAGGCAACTCTTCTTATCGCTTATGATAATGTGGTTGAGTGAGGTGACAGAATTTTTGTTTAACTAGACAGTGCAATATTTTAGTACAAATTACGTCATCAATGGACACTTTTTCTTATAATAGATAAAATGGTATAACTTAGATTTTGTTTAAAATTATAACAAAGGTTTGACGAAGGCTTATATGATACAGCCAATAACCTATTCATGCTTCATACTTGGTTGCTTCACACACAGGTTAGTTGTTTTCTCTGGGTACTCTGGTTTTCCACTACCACCAGAACCTGGTACCTCCTTAACTCATTCACCCCTGAAATTTCATAATGAACTATTCCAACCTTTGAATTGGAAGAGCTCAAATGTGTCTTCAGGGGTGAATGAGTTAAATGACCATATAGCTGTCAATGGGACGTAAAACGCATAAACAAAACTTAAAGTACAATACAGATACACATGCACGAATACTTTTTTTTTCCATTATCCATTTGGAACTCTCAACAATAGCTTTACTCAAATGTTTAATTTCATGATAGAAATTCTTCTTAGGAAGTAAAATATTTCAAAATAAATTACTTAACAGTTCATTATGTATGCTTTTAATTGGTACACTTGGTTTACAGGTTGAATTTGTTGATTCAAACTAATGTTAAAAGGACAGACTGTACTTCTATTGTACAGATAAGTAAAGTTTAGCCCTTACCGGTAATAGCAATTTGTTTCTGCAATAAATGAAATACATCCCTTTCAGAGGGAGGACTCTGGTCTTCACTCTATATACATTGTATAGTATAAATGTGGACAAAGTTTCACAGAATCCAGTTACATTTTAATATTGTTGACAGAGTTTCATCAGAATCCAGTATAGACAACCAAAAAAATACCGGAGGGTTGGAGATTTCTCTGTTTCACCCTCAAGGTAGGGGATGATTATTTTTCTCCTATCCTAATATTCCAGTCACAACTCCACCAACAGTAGTCTGTTTGTAAACAAAAACACATGTGGGGTACGAATATCGTCATTCTATTTTGATGACATCACAATTAGCCTACCGGCGACGCATTTTGTTGACGTCACAATTGAACATGTGCTAATTGACATGAGGCTTCTGTATTTCTCCCTAGGGGCTGACAAGCTGATCTTTCCCGGCTAAAACGGGAGACACGCCTGTGAAGGGTGGGAGAAACTGCAATGAACCCATTTAAATGACCTTTACCCTAACCTGACTGTTTGGGGCAAAATGGTTGTGATGCTAGGAAAAATAATTAATTACTGTAATCTGTAATTCCTTAACCAAAATTCATGATTTGATTTGTTTGTATATAATACAACCATGGCCGTCAGGACTCTAAGATATATAGGGAAAGGTATATTCAGTGATTGTTCACTACTCATTAGCAGAATCTAATCTTCCAGTCAATGTCAACTTCTGAAGTGCTTTATCAAATAAAAAGAAAGAAAAAACACTACACCCAGCTAGTGTATTTAAAAGTCCTCCTATAGATTTCTTTATTGACTGAACACAATTTGTTATCATGTACTATATTTTGGACCACATTTCGCAAATAATTGATTATATATAGAATATTGAACCAATCAATTTCCAATCACTCAATGCTAATGATGGGCAATCGGTTTATAATCATAATTGATAATTGGTTTGTAATTGGAAGTAGTAAACCGATCAATGATCGATTGCATAAGAATAAGAATCATAAGAATATATGACTTTCAATACATTTTTCACACTGAAAACATTTACCTGGGTAACACTTTGATTTTAATTAAGAACCGATTATATCGATAATGGAATTTGTAATCAATAATCGGAATCAGAAAGGGCAAACCGATCAATTTACGAATTATAATTGATCATCAGCCCATCACTACTCAATGCTACCATAAATTTTGGGACATAATGCACCAAAATTGGACCTGCACAGAAACTGGACTGCTCACTATGGGGCTATATTGTAACTTTTAAATAGGCAGGCACCGAATCTGGACAAATTTAAATATAAATGGTACAAACTGATTGTCCATGTAAAAGTAAATATTACACATATATATATACAAGTGTTAAAGATGTGGATTAATTAGGTTGTAGGGAATTTCCCTTAAGCTTAACGGTAGAGCATCGGGCTGGAGAGCCAAGGGTCGTGGGTCCGAGCCCCAGCGACGGCACTTTCTTTATCACTTTTCCTCGTCCTACTACAAACTGGTGCCGTTAACCCTCCCCGTTCAAGGTAGGAGAACCCTTGGCAGGGAGTCAAAGAACCTGGGTTGGTGTTTGAAAAGGGGGGAATAGTGTAAAAGATGTGGATTAACTAGGTTGTCTTACAAGCGTCAGCTGTAGGGAATTTCGCTTTAGCTTAGCGGTAGAGCATCGGGCTGGAGAGCCATGGGTCGCGGGTTCGAGCCCCAGCGACGGCATTTTCTTTATTACTATTCCTCGTCCTACTACTCAAGCATTGCTGGTACACAGAGTGAAGCACAGTTTATTCGGTAAATTCCGACCTAAGGGATCCGAAACTTGTCGTCAATCAACGCTACAGTACTGCAACGCTACGTCAGATTCCACAAGACTCTTTGTATCATCAACATCATCATCTTCCCGGACAGGAGCTGGGGTGTATCGCATTCATGGTTACGCTAGGACTACAGTACAGTAGGCAAATCAAACATAAAATGCTGAGCTGACAGTTAATTCGATATGTCAAAATAGAAATCGTGGCTCTTTACATTCCATTGACGTTGATAAATCTCCAGTTATTGCCCGTATTACCGAGATTACCTACATTTATGACAGCTGACATCTGCAAATTTCCCTCCATCGGCTATGAGCATCGGTGTTCTAGAAGTGCTTGTTTCGATTGACAATATCCTTGCTCTACAAACGTTCTTCGCGCACTGACCGGAAAAATTACGGAAAATAACGATTATTCATGAGCTCGCGATGTTACCCAATATAAACAAATCCCACCTGCGTCAGAGTCAGTCTGACCGTCAACTCTTACAGGTGACGTACTGAAGCTCCATTCGCAAAACCTCCAATCATGTGTGACAGTCGAATTACAACTCCATTTGTGCCTGACCCTAATATGGAATTAGAGCAAAAATTAAAGAAGCTTACAACAACCAGTGTTGTAACAATGAACTCCAACGACAATGTCAGTGAATTAAAGGAGACAGAACCGGAGAAGGAGACAGAACGTGAACAGTACAATACGAATTGCAGTAAGGAAGAACAAATTAAAGGTGCTTTACAGGAAAACTATAAAGGTATATTAAAAGGTCTCGGAGAAGATACATCACGACAGGGACTTCTAAGGACACCAGAAAGGGCAGCCAAGGCTATGATGTTTTTCACAAAGGGATACAGAGAAAACATAAAAGGTACTGTAACTATAATAATTTGAGTCAAGTAGATAATGTTAAAAGAGTATATATCTTAATCTATACTTCAAAAGAAAATCATGAGAAAAGCTAATTAGTTCACAAAAAGCCTTTGCATTCTTGGTGATGTTTTGTTTAAAAAAAATAGTTACAGATTCTCAGACTGTAATATTATAAACCATTTTAATTTTTTTTAGGCATATAAACATATGCTAATGGTAACATTAATTCATTAAATATCTGAACCTGAAATGAAACTATAATATTTGAAAGAGACATATTGATAGACTCCTATTTACATATTTATTAAGTTGTTAATATATATATATATCCAAAAAAGTTACATTTGTTAAAGTGATCCCATAGATTAGCATATTCAGCTCAGCTGTCTCCCATATTCTTATTAATTTGTTTATGCCAGTTGTATATTACTATTTGTATTCATCAAGTAGCTATCTTATCTCAAGGATATTATTTTAGGTGCTTAACATTCAAGGGTTAACAGACATGCAGATATATTTTGAACCTAATGACCCTAACCCCAGATATTCAACACAATCAAGATATTATATATAAGATTATAGTCCTAATAAAATCATGTGTTACCACTCAGTATAATTTTTATTGTAAATTTAAAGCTGAAAAGAAAAAATACACAGCCCGGCTGAGATTCAAACCCGTGACCATCTAAACTAGATATGGATGCTTTAACTAATTCAGCTACCTCAGGTTACCGGCAAGCAACCGGCATTCCAATTCTGCTACATTATTCCTCCTTCAAGTCCTTAAGTCACATACATGAGACCTTATACCACCTGTCGTGGGTATGCCTAGGTATTTTGTTGGGTGCCATATGTGACAGGACAGGCAGATCAGGATTCGAACCAAAGATCTCCTGAACTTTAGACACACTAACCAATTCATCTATCTGGTCAACAGCGATTGACCAAGTCAAGTTCCCCTACACATGTATCAAATGAGAGTGTGTATATGTGCATGTCTGTGCTGGTTAACATAACTTAATACATGTCCTGACTGTTATGGGTCCGTATTTTGATTGGCTCATTAAAGATTTACTGTGCCATACCACTCGAATACAACATGTACAGCACAGAAAGGTACCTAAAACTTAACACACAGACCAATGTTAAACACAAANGGAGGGGGGGGGAGAGGTCTCTTTAGCTATTCTTTCAGATGAAATAATCAGATCTTGGAAATATAAGAATAATTTAGCAAATTGACTGGTTGAAAATGCTCAATGGTTAGGGTCCAAAATTGGGAGTCTCCCTCCAAAATAGGGGGAGTTGGCAAACGTAGGACATTGATATAGTTTTTGTTGTCATTTCTTTCTAACTGCAATAGACATTGGTGGGCTTATTACCAAGCATTGGCTAATTGCTGGATAAATAACTCCACTTTCGGCAGGTAGATTTGAGCAGTTGGGGTTGAATTGTGTCTTGCTTGATGGTCACAACCATATCCTGCTGCTATTGAGAAAAAAAATCAAACTAATTTACAATTGATGCTCTGAATAGGCTGATTGCACTATCAACTGTGTATATGTAGCAGGCTATCCCATGATCAAATTAGTATGGTGATAGTGCTCATATATGTACATAGATTATCAGTCATGTGAATATATTTGATTTTATCACATGTCTATAGTCTATACCTTCAAAAGAAAATATCACTATCAATAGAGTATAATAATGTTTTAATGGTGTGATTAATGGTAAAATAAGCATTAACATATCAATTGTAAATATGACATATGTTTATCATATTTGTTAAGTAAATAAATATTTACTGTTAGTAGTAATACATTGATATCATGTTATATTAGCGCTTATCTCGGTGAAAGACCTGAAGGCTGGTGACATAACGGGGAAATTCATTTAATCATGACTGCTATAATAATGGAGAATCTGGATCAGTTTTCGTAGCTAGGCTGATGATCAAGAGCTTCTAATAATATAAATCAGGAGATTTCCAACCGAGAATAGCAAGTTTATATTTTTGCTAATATTAAAGTTTTTCACTATCTTTCGTTGTCAACATTAATGTTATTTGCCAGCTTAACTTTTTCGAGAGGGAAGCAATGGAAAATGTATCAATTTCAGACTTTACTGAAAGCAGTGTCAGATCCCAGACCAAACCTAAGAAACCCCCACCCCCCCTCGTACTCTCTGCTCCCTCCCACTTTTCCTCTTGGGATCTTAAGGATGACACACCTCCAAAAATTGCCCAAATTTCACCTAAGTCGTTATGTTTAGTGAAAACAAAAGGGGCAAAAATGACTGATTTTTGTCCACCTAAAAATAGTAATACTTTCCTAATTGTGTAGTTATATTACCTCCAACTGGAACGTTGAATACGGTAATACTGTGATCATTGTTGGTAGTTGCCATGCTAAGATCAGATCCTCTAAAACATTGTGGCTTTGACAGCATCATAAATTATGTTCGATGATAGAACTGTGCTTTTATAATTTTGTTAAAATTTGTTGTAATTCGTTAGAGTAAGAAAGAGATTGAGACTAGAGACGAGACAGATTAAGGGGTATACATGTACATGTAGGAGTTTAGTGATAAATTAATTGGTTGTGATGAAGTTGTGCTGGAACGTTGTAATTTCTGGAGTAAGATGCACAGTCTTGAGTACAAATATATGTTAATAATGAGATATAAATTACTGTAGCAATATTGAATTAGAGAAATTATGCATTTTCTAATCCTCAGTATAGATCAATATTAAGAAAAAAGTCATGTCACAAGCATGTGTTTGTGATTGAAGGTTATGCCATGGAACACGAAATGGTAAGATTTTATATAAATCTATTAAAATTACTTGCTTTAACATATAGCTAAAAATCTCATTAACAAATATTTCTGGAATAATTAACATCTGCTCAGTAAATACTAGATTCTCTCGTAATCCATCTTTTACCTTCTCTGAAAAATACATGTATGTTATTGAAAGTGTAACGCTTGGATTTCAAAGAAGTTTATAATTATGTAAGGCCAAAACAAAATATGTCTGTTTAGCCCCTACCCAAAACTTTTTGATGAAAAAAAACAAAGAAAACAAAAATTTAAAAAACACTGATTTTCGAATTTTAGAATGTTCCTTGCCTTTCAAAAAGGCTTCTAGCTCCGTGTTGGCACTAAATATCAGCCTATGGAGCACAATTTGCCTCCAAATGAACCTTGTTTATGTAATTCTTTGTTTTACATACAATAGTGGGGTCATAATCACATGACCACAATACAAAATTTGACCTACCTACCCTTGTTTTTTGCCCATGCAACCCTAAACAGACTATTAGCTTTTTTTGGCCTAATATGTTTTTTTTATGTTATCAGTGTATTTGTAGTAAAGATTTTTGCTCCGGTGTCTTCCAAAACTTTTCTGACATTTTATAATACCCCAGTAAATGTGTTTCATGGTGACTTCATTTGTGAGTCGCATATTGACACACAAGATTTGCTCATTTCAAGATTTACTTTCACAACTCTGATGTTATTCAAATGAATGGCACATTAAATACGGTCTTCAAATTAGTGATTTTGTGTATGTTACTCAGCATTGATCCTGAAACAAAAATCAGCATGTGATGCTTTTTGTATTTCATGGCTCAAATAGCTAACCATCGTGGCTCCTATGAGACACTTTACATAATGCTGCAGAATCAGTAAAATCTTTCATTATATATATTACTCATTATGCTAAAAATTAAAGAGTTTATGATTCTATAATCTGTGGGGGAATACATATTGTATTCCATAGCTGTCAACGAACCCTCCCTCATTAAGAGGGAGACTCCCTCATTTTGACCAAAACTTACCAATCTCCTTCAAAACTCCCCCATTCAAGTTCAAACTCACTGAACAAACTCAAAATCTACATCCTGTGGTCTAATGATCTCCTAGTAAGTGCAAGGTGTGTGTAGTGATCGTAACAGGTGTGTCTGATTTTGATACATAATAAGGAAAAGATCAATTGAGCTAAGCAGTTTCAGTCGTGTTTCACACCCTTTCTCCCTCATTGGAAACGAGGAATGGGGAAGGTCTCCGTCATTGGAGGTTTCAGAGTGTGACAGCTATGGTATTCCACTTTATATTGGAATCAAAAGATAATTTACATTGATATGGTCCAATGACTTGTTTTAAACCCCATGTAAGTATAGTTTTGAAAGATTCTGGTAAGTACATTTCTTGGATAGTGAAATTCATTGAAAATCAAGGTAAATTTGACCTTTGTACCAGGAGTTAAGGTTGAGATAATTAACAGCACCATTTTATTAGCTCACCTGGTCCAAAGGACCAAGGTGAGCTTATGCCATACCGTGGCGTCCGTC